GATTGCCTTCAAGCCCTCAGAGAGTGTCTGTGTGGGTAAGTGTTGAGAAGTTGAGGACGTTGGAGTCTAATGGTCACAGGCAATGGCATGGACAATAGACATCCGTGGAAGAATGGAGCTTACACACTCTGGCTGGACACTTTCTTTCCCCCACCTTTATTCCATTTGAGTTCCAGGCCTATTTGGATGTTGCCACCCACATTCAGAACAGGTACTTTCCCCCTCAATTGCTGTCCTACATGTCAATCACCTCTGACAACACCCCCACAGATACACCAAGAAGTGTGTCTTAATAGTCCCCTAGGCATCTCAATCTAGTCAGGTTGACAGTCAGACCATGACACATAATTTTTACACTCCCTTGAATTTCACTGAGCCTTGAATTTCACTGAGCCTCTACATTTATCAACTGCTTTACAGGGAATAGAAATGATAGGAACGGCTTCTTCAACTTGAGTGTGTATCCGACTCCCATAGAGGCTCTCCTTGTTGGACCCTACTTCCAGACGTTTTCACTTGGTAGCATTATGTTCATTCATTTTTCATGTATTTATTTTTATTTTGGTGCTGGGAATTGAATCCAGGGCTTTGTGTAAGTTAGGTAAGTGCTCGTCTGCGAAGCTATACCCCTAGACCACTGAGTCATTATTTTTAAACAAAAGTTTTAAGATACAATGGAGGTGGGCTGGAAACGTAATATAGCATTAGAGTATCTGTCTGGGATACAGGAGGAGTCCTTGTTTAAATAAAAAAGAAAGAAAGGTATAGTGCATGGTTGTGCCCTTGCTTTTTTCTTCTGCTATGACATCCATAGTATCTCACACAGGGTTGATTCCTTTAGTTTGAGTTCCAGGCAGAAGAACCAAAGCTGACCTGTAATTGCCATGCATGTAAGCAAGCAACAAAGTAACTCCCTGAAATGCTGGGATTGTTATTTTAACAGAACGAGCTATGCAAACTCCTTATATTAAGTGTGCTTGATATTCTGTAACAGGTTTGTGTCCTTATGAAAGCCAAAGAAATGAATGGGAAAAGCTAATACTCTTCCATTTCAATAATATTCTGTGTGTACATGCATATACACCGTTCAGATAATAGCAAGAATCATATTGCCACACACAAACTGTTTTTGTTTTGAGACAAGGTCTCATGTAGTCCAGGTTTGGCTCAGATTTGCTGTGTAACCTAGAATGACCATGAACTCACCAATGCTGGGATCACAGGGATGAGCCGTCATGCTCAGCACCATGTGCAAATTGTTTATCAGCCTTCTCCATGGAAACAGACAGGAAATAGAGCCAAGAGCCATCTGCTTGTCTTGACAAAGGTCACCTTTTCAGAGATGAGTCTAAAAATAATACACACAAATCAGAGAGACATATATACACGCACAAACATGAACTATACACAAAATAAAGAGAAATAACATATTTCTTTTTGTTGTTTTTGTTTTGTTTTGTTTATTTGAGACAGGATCTCATTTTGTAGCCCTGACTGGCCTGGAACTCACTAGGTAAACCAGGCTGGCCTAGAACTCACAGAGATCCACCTACCTCTGCCTCCTGAGTGCTGGGCTTAAATGTGTGCCACCATGCCCAGCTTCCTTACATCTTCTAACCAAACAGAAAATAATAGTCATTGTAAAAATGAAAACATTTCTGTGCATTTAGAGCAATGAATGCCGGGTAGCCAGAGATGAAAGAGGTTAGACACAAGCCTGACCTGCAGGCTCACAGATGACTCAAAAGCAGTGACATCTAAAAAGCCACTGCAACGTGGGAGACAGGCCAGGAAACAGACAACCTGGAGCTGTCTGCACAGCTTGCAGGCAGCTGGACAGGCGCCAGCAACATCCTCTGGGCAGCCAGCCTTCTCTAGGCAGCTTCGCTCGTCAGAGTCTCCTCCCCGGTGGTTGTTTAGTACTTGGCTAACACTGGGAAAGGGGCCTGGTGAATCTTGAGACTTTCGGCTTTCCCTGGGGTGTGAATATATGTTACCTCCTCAGTCTCATAAGCCTCCTCCTTCCCTCCCTTCTGGAGGAAATGCTTTAACTCCAAGGAAACTGAAGAAGTATGAAGCGTGGGTTTAAGTTTATGTGACGTGAGAGCTCTAGAGTCAGTGACGACTATGTGCTCAGAGACACTATAGCCAGGGTGGGGATTGTGGACCCAAATACACAGGCTGTGAAAATGCAAAACGTAATAAATGGAGCAGTCAGGTGTCTCCTACGTTTCGTCACCACAACATCTTATTGCTGCATAGAGAGTTCATGCTTGAAAATCACATACCTGAGTGACAAAAACACATAATTGAGTGACAAAAAGAATCACAAAAGATCTATCCCCCGCTCCCCAGACAGGGTTTCTCTCTGTGGCTTTAGAGCCTGTCCTGGAACTAACTCTTGTAGACCAGACTGGCCTCACAGAGATCCACCTGCCTCTGCCTCCTGAGTGCTGAGATTAAAGCCGTGCACCATCATGCCTAGCCACAAAATGTCTTTTAAGTAAATTTATAATTTTATGTTTGGTTTCGTTCAAAGTTGTTCCAAGACACACATGGCTTATGGGCTAAAGGCTTGGACACACCTGGCAGATTTTTCTAGAGTACATTAACCTGAGAATGGGTGCATACAACAGGAGTAAAGGCTATTGGGTAGCTAGGGAGATAGCGAAGTTGGTAAAGTGCTTGCAGACCTGAGGACCTGTGTTGGATGCCTGGAATCCAAGTAAACAAACTGGGTGTGGTGGCTGTCAGTTTGTCATTCCAGGCTGTCAGGAGGATCTCTGGGGCTTGCCAGCTAGCCAGCTTAGACTAATTGGTGAGCTTGGGTGTTCTACTTAGGGTTTCTGTTGCTCTGATGAAACACCATGGCTAGCTGGGCGATGGTGGCGCACGCCTTTAATCCCAGTACTCGGGAGGCAGAGGCAGAGGCAGAGGCAGGCAGATCTCTGTGAGTTCGAGACCAGCCTGGTCTCCAGAGCTAGTTCCAGGACAGGCTCCAAAAGCCACAGAGAAACCCTGTCTCGAAAAACCAAAAAAAAAAAAAAAAAAAAAAAAGAAAGAAAAGAAAAAAAGAAACACCATGGCCAATAAGCAAGTTGGAAGGAAATGGTTTATTTGGCTTTGACTTCTACCTTATAGTCCATTATTGAAAGAAGCCAGGACAAGAATTCAGGTAAGGCAGGAACCTGGAGTCAGGAGCTGATGCAGAAGTGATAGAGGGGAGCTATTTACTGGCTTGCTCCTCATGACTTGCTCAGCCTGCTTTCTTATAGAACCTAGGGCTACCGGCCCAGGGATAACACCATGGCCCTACCACAGCTAGAATCTGTAATGATCTCCATGGCCTGTGTTGCCACCAAAGCCTTGTGGTTGCCTGGCTTCTGGGCCACACTGTCTTTGAGGACATGCTGATGTGAGTAGCCTGCACTGCCATGTAGGGCCATGATGACATCCAGGCCAAGCCAGAGGTATGGCTGAGGGTCATGTCTGGTCCCGTGATCCTACGACAGCCAGGGTCTGTTGTGTTGATGTCCATGGCCCGTGTTAACACAGGGGTTATAGGAGAACTGGCCCTCCTGACCTGAGCACCAGGGAGCTGGGTCTGCCCCTCGTTAGCCACCTCAGAAAGAGAGCTGTTGCACCCCATCCCGGGAGAACTGGCCCCAGTGGACTAGGTGCAGGAGAGCTAGCCCTGACCCTTCACAGCCCCAGGAGAACTGTCGCCGCTCCTTGCCAGCTACCACTACTGGAGAGCTGGCCCTGCACTTAGGGGCGCTAACCCCACCCCTCACCACCTGTTTGGGAGAGTTGGCCCTAATGGCTTAGGCACAGGAAAGCTGGCTTAGACCTTTGCCTGAGGTGGAGGCCCAGACTGAACAACTCAGCTACCACTCAGGCCCGCATCCAGGGTTTTGAGTTGGCCTACCCTAGCATCTACCCGACCTGTGACCTGCTGGAGCACATGATTGACTGGTTCTGTCTAGCCATAGTCACAGGATCTCTGTGACTTAGGCCAATAGCCAAATATCCCAGAGAAGTTCAGATGATGGGCCAGTATTGATGGTGGACCAGAAGCCAAGGCCTTGAACTCGGCCAACAACTCGTTGCAATGAATATTTTGTAAGGAAAGCTCTTTGGGCAAAGGGGTCTACTGCATGACAAACTGCAGCTCACAAGGCCACTAGGGCCAATAAACACACGATGAGGAGACAGGAAAGAGAGAGAAGTAAAAAGAATTCTTTTTCCTTTGGGGAGTGGGGAGGCTACAAGGGTGGGCGGCAGACATGGGAAGACTGGGAAAAGAGTGGAACTGAGCTGCATGATGTGAAATTCCCAAAGAATCAATAAAAATGTGTTTATATAAAAAAGGAGAGAAAGAAAAGGAAAGAGGAGAGCAAACAGAGAGGGGCTGGTATTTATGGGTACCATTAACCTATCTGCAAAGTTCAGAAGTTGCTGTTTTCCAAGTAGAAGCTTCATTTGAGGCTATGGGAGATGGGTAAAGTTAGGTGGCAGGTTAGAAACTAAGTAGGCAGGAATGGAGACCAAGAATAAGCAGGTTCAGGTAAGTTGATTCTGGAAGACCTTTGAGGGTCGAGCTGGAAGTGCTTGGCAGCTACTTCTGCCCCTTGGTACCTCGATCTGCACACAAGGCAGGGAACCAACCTGAGGGCTGACCTCGAGGCCGCGATCCTTTCCTCAACTCCAAAGAACCCAGGCCTTGCACCATCCAGTATGTTCCTTTTCTCCAGCCTGAGGATTTGAGGGGCACTCTCAGGGAATGGAGGTGAGCACAGCCAGCCATGCGCGCTAGAGCGCCCTCTGGGGCAGCCCGGGCGGGGCGCGAAGCCCGGGCTTCTCTGTGAGAACCAGTTTGGCCGGAGGAGGAGGAGGACACGGTGGGCGGTGCTGGGGCGGGGCGGGGGCGTGTCCAGGGCGGGGTTGGAGCCGGACCATTCCGGAAGGAAGTGGTTCGTCTCCTAGAACCGCGAGGGCGCCTGGGTGCTGTTGGAGCAGGAGGCGGGAGCTGAGCAAGGGGCGAGGCCTGGAGGAACCTGAAGCGGCTCTGGTGTTGAACGCGACGGCGGCTTCACTGCGGGGTGAGCGGTCCAGGAGCAGACAGAGCAAGGAGGCCCCGGCCTGCAGGGGAAGGAGGGTGTGTCCTTCGCTCGGGAGAGGCAGTTCTCATAGAGGCTGGAGGGGCGGCCGGGATGGGGCGGCCGGGATGGGGTGGCAGGGATCGGGCGGCCGGGATGGGGCGGCCGGGATGGGGCGGCTGGGATGGGGTGGCAGGGATGGGGCGGCCGGGATGGGGTGGCAGGGATCGGGCGGCCGGGATGGGGTGGCAGGGATCGGGTGGCCGGGATGGGGTGGCAGGGATCGGGCGGCCGGGATGGGGCGGCTGGGATGGGGTGCCAGGGATCGGGCGGCCGGGATGGGGTGGCCAGGATGGGGCGGCAGGGAAGGGGTGGCAGGGTTCGGGCGGCAGGGATGGGGCGGCTGGGATGAAGCGGCTGGGATCGGGTGGCGGGCAGGCTAGGCTTCTTCGGGGACCGCGTCCCTTCTCTCTTCTTGCCTGGCCACCACCTTCCCTCTGTGGCGGCCGCCGGTGCGCCTCAGGGCGCCTGGCTCTCGGGGCGATAGGTGACTGTCGCCACCAGTGCCTTGCCCGCGGCGCCCAAGGCGACACCTGCCCGCTGCCTCTGCCTTCCCCGCCCACAGCGTCGGGCAGGTGGCGGCTCCGTTCTCGGAGTGTCCATCCTGGGGACCAGGAAGGGGGCGGTGCCCCGGGGATGGAGCGCTGGTTCCTCAGGCGGCCCCGGGACGTGTCCGCCCGCGGGACCCAAGTGCCCACTTTGTCCGCGGGAGACACTGGCCGCCGTCGCCGGGTCTTCCCCGGGGAAAGCCGAAGAGTAAGGGAAGACGGCTGGGAGGATTTTAGTCACCTGTGCCACTGGCAGGACTGTCCTGGAGAAACTTAGTCCCCGAAATAGTTTCCTTTGGAGGGGGACTTTGGGAGGTACACCTTAAGTGGTAGCTTTTCTGGAACACATTACCTACTACTAGTAGAAAATGGGCTCCGTGAGATTCCTGTCAGGCAACCTTTGGAGCACATTTTTTTCTTTTGTAGCCCCAGGGGTTAAAGTTAGGCCATCCCCCATGGCAAGAGAGCACTCCACCAGAGACAGATGTGTATCTGTGCAGACACAGCCGCTCTCACCTCAGGCTGCTGTGTAACTCATTCTATAGGTCAAGAAGGCTTCGAACTTTCTAGAGTAGTGTAATTGGGATTATAAGGCCTGCACTGCCAGGACTGGCACGTTTTTTAACGTCTTTTTTCCCCTAGGTGTGAACAGGTTCAAAAAAATCTAAAAAAGGCTTTGCTGTAATTTCATAAGTTTTCATAAGCTTTCAAAAACTCTAACTTATGTTGGTTTTTTTCTTCCTTCCTTCCTTCTTCTTTTTTTTATTTTTATTTTTTGAGACAGGGTTTCTGCATAGCTTTGGAGCCTGCCCTGGAACTCGCTCTGTAGACCAGGCTAGCCTCGAACTCACAGAGTTCCCTCTGTCTCTGCCTCCTCCCGAGTCCCGGAAGTCCAGCCACCACTGCCAGGTCTTTCCCTCCCCCCCCCCCAAAGTCTTCTAGCCCAGGTTAGCCTTGATCGCACAGTGTGCTAAGTCTAGCCTTGAACTTCTGATTCTTCTGCTTCTGGCTTCTAAACAGTGGACTACAGGAAAATATTAGACATGCCTGTTTTATTTTCCTTGTTTATTGGTAGCACTTCAGCTTCTTATTTAGTTCACTTTTGTAAAAAGAAAAATAGTTTAGTGTTTTTAGAAGTGAGCAAGGCATTTGAAGTTATGACCTTTGAATTATATTATTTCATTACCTTGGCCAAATCACTTTACTTTTTCTAAGGTATTTCCTCAACAATGGACAAGGTGTTATAATGTGTTTGCCTTACCTTTCTTTTAGGATCATATGAGACATTTATGGAAAGTACATTTCATATACCTTGTCTTATTGCAGTTTTTGCTTTCTTGTAAAAATTTCAGAGCACAGGAACATTTTGTAGCACACAATTTCGTTTATTTATTTAGTTTTTTGAGACAGGGTATGTCTCTAACAGCCCTAGCTGTCCTGAAACTAGCTCTGTAAACCAGGCCTGCCTCTGCCTCCCAAGTGCTGGGATTAAAGGCGAGTGCCACCACCATCACCCAGCTAGGCACATAAAAATTTAAATTTCTTGGGACTGGGGAAAATGACTAATCATGAGGACCTGAGTTCAGATCCCCAGTACCCAAATAAAAAGCCAGAGCTGCAGTTACCTCTAACTCCAGCTCTCAGGAGGCACAGGGAGGAGGGTCCCTGGGGACCATCCAGGTAACTTGAAACGGAAGACCCCTGTCTAACACAAATAAGGTGGAGTGCTATTGAGGAAGATGGCTATTTCTGGTCTCCACATGGTTGCATACACATGAACACACATACAAGGAAGGACATGCCCACAATCACACAAAAAAAAGTTAGAGTTTTTGAAAGCTGTTCTGGGGCTAGGCATGGATTTCAGTTGATAGAGAACTTGCTTAGCATGTTTGAAGCCATGAATTCAATTTTCAGCACTCAAAAGTTAGAGTCAAAAGATTATAGATACAACCTGGGAGGTGGTGGCACAGACAGTGGCAGAGGCAGGCGGATCTCTGTGAGTTCGAGGCCAGCCTGGTCTACCGAGAGAGTTCCAGGACAGGCTCCAAAGCTAGAGAAACCCTGTCTCAAAAAAAAAAACAAACAAATAAACAAAAAAGGTTGCAGATTCAGGTGTGTGCGTGTGCTTCTTCCAGTACTGTGAATTGAGCCCAGTATTTCCTGTATGCCAGGCAATCACTCTACCTACTTAGCTGTATCACTAACCCTCAGGTTTTGATTTTTTTTTGTTGTTGTTTGTGTGTGTGTGTCAAGCAGGTTGTCACTGTGAAGCCCAATCTTGCCTCGGGTACTGAGTGTCTGGATTACAGGTATGTAGCACCATGTCTGGCTAACAGTCACAAGTTTGAGGCCATCCTAGGCACTTTATTAAGACCCAATTTCCCTGGGCATAGTGGTGAACACCTTTAATCCTAGCACCAGGGAGGTAGAGGCAGGGAGATCTCTTTGAGTTAGAGACGAGCCTGGTCTACAGAGTTCCAGGTCAGAGCTATATAGTGAGACCTTGTCTTGAAAAAATCAGATGAAGAAAAAAAAAACCAAAAATGCCAAATAAAAAGATAGAGTTTCAAAAACTATTCTATAGTACTCTTTGACCCCACACCACACTCTTTCATACTCTTAAGTTTGATAAATTGTATATTGAACATAGCTCCCCTTTTATTTCTTTTCTTTCTCTCTCTTTCTGTCTATCTCTTTTTTTCCCGAGGCAGAGTTTCTCTTTGTAACAGTCCTAGCTGTCCTGGAACTAGCTCTTGTAGACCAGGCTGTGCTCGAACTCACAGAGCCTCTGCCTCCCGAGTGCTGGGATTAAAGGTATGAACCACCACCATCTGACTTTTCCTTTGTTTTTTGAGACAGTCTCATTTAGACCGTCTTGACTCCAAATTTGTAATCCTTTTGCCTGTGTCTCTTTAAGTAGTATTAGGGGTATGTGTGCATCACACTTCATTTATATCAGTGGTTCTCAACCTTCCTAAATTCTGTGACCCTTGAATATAGTTCCTCATGTTATAGTGACCACCAATCACAAGATTATTTTTGTTGCTGCTTCATAACTGTAATTTTGCTAAATATCTATGTTTTCTGCTAATCCTAGGTAACCCCTGTGAACTGGCTACTTGACAACCCAAGAGGGGTTGTGACCCACAGGTTGAGAACTACTGATTTATGTGGTTCTGGTGACTGAACCTTAGGGTTTCATGCATGTTAGGCAAGCACTATGCTAACTAAACTTCATCCCAGCCTCTTTTCTTTGCTATTTTAAGTGTTTAATATCTTATAAATGACGCATATTTAGTCTTTAATTTGTACTGATTTTATTATTCATTTGTACTATTTTACTATTTATTTGTAGTATTTATTTGTATTGTGTTTATTACAATGAATTTGTGTGTGTGTATTTATGTCAGTGTTGCATGCATGTTAAGGCCAGAGGTTTGATATCAATTGTCTTCTTTGATAGTTGTCTATCTTATTTTTTAAATTTTTATTTACTGTTAGAGTTCAGGTGTGCACTCACATATATGCTGGGACATATGTGGAGGTCAGATGACAGCGTGGAATCAGTTCTCTTCATCTACCTTTGGTTTGGGGGATCACACTCATTTGCCATGCTTATTTATATACAAAGCATCTTTGTCTGCTGAGCCAGCTCATTGTCCTGTCTTATTTTTGAGACAGAGTCTTTCACTAAACCTGCAATTCATTAATTGTGCTAGATTAGCTGGCGAGCAAATGCCTTTGCAGCCCAGGGATTACAGTTGTGCTTCTGGACCAGCTTTTTATGTAGGTGATAGGGAGATGAACTCAGGTCCTCATGCTTACTTGGCAAACATTTTATTGATGGAGTGTTTATGATGGAGATTCAGTCTCATAATTTTTTAGCTGGTCACTGTTTTTAGTGCATCTCATAGAATTTGATTACTTAGTCTTTGCGTTTGTGTACACACACACACACCTCACTTAAGACAGGGTATTACTTTATAATCAAGGCTGACTTTAGACTCTGTGTAGCCCAGGGTGGCCTAAAACTCATAGCTATCTTCCAGTTTCAGCCTCCAAAGTGCTGAGCCACCATGTGAGCCACTATGCTTGCTTCATTGTCAATATTTTTTTTTAATTTTAAATAAACAGTTCTTTATGCCTGAAGAAATGAATCACCAATTAAGAGCACTTGTTTCTCTTATAAAGAACTTGGATTTTGTTTGCAGCATCCACATGATTGTTCCCAACTATTGAAATGCCCGTTCCAGTTTATCTGATGACCTTTTCTGACCTTAGTGGGTTCCATGTGCACATATGGTACACAAACATGTATGCAGACCAGCACAATATATATAAAGTAAAAAAAAAAAATTAAAAAAAACTCATCATTTTTACACTTAGTGTGTATTTGCATGTTCATGCCATGGCATGCATATGGAAGAAAGACTTGTAAGCTTCCCCTCGTTTTTGTTTTTGTTTTTGTTTTTCATGGGTTCTGGGGATCCAACAAGTCCCTGTGCTTGTATGGCAAGAACTTTACCTACTTAGCCATCTCCCCAGTCCCTGGGAACATTAGTATTTTTGTTTTAATGGCCTATGTTTGTATTTAACCTTTTTCTAATATGTTTACTTTTCTGTTTTTCTTTGTGTGAGAAAGATAGGAATTACTTTATCCCATGTAACCAAATTATACGAATGATAAGCAGCAGTGGAGTTCTGTATGCACTTACTGAAGAACTGGTGATAAGGTAACATGCTTTCTGTGACCATCAGAATAATCCACGTGTGATCTCCTCACTTCTGCTTTTCCCTTTCCTCTAAGCACACATATTCCTGTGTTTTCTTGTTGCAAAGGCTTTACTTGAGAATTTTTATTCATTGCATTTGTAAATACTAAATTTTCATTTAGTGTGGAATCTTTTTTGCATAATTCACCCATTTTAAGTGTACAGTTCAGTATTTTTAGTATTTTCATACAGTTGTACACACATTATCATAAATCTAATTCCAGAATAGTTCTTCACCCAAAAAGTTCTTGTTAGGTGTGATGGTGGATGTCTAGAATCCCAGAACTTGGGAGATATAAGAAGGGAGGACTAGGAGTTGAATGTCATCATCCTCACCTACACAGCAGGTGTGAGGCCAGCCTTCCTGACAGGGAGCCCTGTTCCAAAAAAAAAAAAAAAACCTAAAGAAAAAACATTAGCCATCATTCCGTTTCTTTGAATTTTTTTTTGTTTTGTTTTGTTTTGTTTTTCAAGACAGGGTTTCTCTGTAGAAGTAGCCCTGGCTGTCCTGGAACTTGCTTTGTAGACCAGGCTGGCCTTGAACTCACTGAGATCTGCTTGCCTCTATCTCCTGAGTGCTGGGATATTTTAGCTAAATGAAATGTAGTGGGAGCTGAGGGCTGCTTCCTGCCGCCCGGCTCCCGCACGGCTAGCTTTACCCAAAATAATTACACGGAAACTGTATTCATTTAAACACTGCCTGGCCCATTAGTTTCAGCCTCTTATTGGCTAATTCTCACATCTTGACTAACCCATTTCTATTAATGTATGTAGTACCACGAGGTGGTGGCTTACCGGGAAGGATTTTAGCCTACATCCGTCTCGGGTAGGAGAATCATGGAGACTGCTTCACTGCCTTCTTTCTCTCAGCATTCTGTTCTGTCTTCCCCGCCTACCTAATTTTCTGTTCTATCAAAGGGCCAAGGCAGTTTCTTTATTAACCAATGAAAGTAACACATAGACAGATGACCCTCCTCCATCAATGAAATTTATGCTTTGAGGTTCATCTATGTTGTAACATGTATCAATATCTACTCCATATTTTATGCTTAGATATTCCACTGTATATGTATGACATTTTGTTCACTCATGTCTTAATGTACATTTGAGGTTTTTCTACCTTTTGGCTATTATAAATACTCCTATGAACATTGTTGTAAAAAGATGTTATATGGACATATTTCCAATTATTGTGGTTATGTATGTATACCTGAATGGAATAATAGTTGGGCCATATGGTAACACTATGTTTGACTTTATGAGTAACTGCTAGACTGTTCTAAAGTGGCTGGCTGTATCATTTACATTCCCATCAGCAGTAAGTGAACCCAAAGCCATGGATTTCTAAGTTATTAGTTCTTTTGTGCTTGGAACTCTTCATGATTTTATCTTTAAATGAAATAGTATTTAGTAGACTGCATTTCAGAGCTGAATGTTGTATACCTACCCTAGATATCTTGATGAACCCTATTTCAGCTATTTTTCTATTACTGAAAGAAAGGAGATTTTCTTTTTTTTACTCTGAGGTTGGAGGTTAAACCCAGGGTATTGTACATGTTAGGTGAGTGGTCCTCTGCGAAAGTATGTCACCTACCTGGTTTCCTCAAATTGTGATTTTTAAAATTTATTCAAGATTTGTGTTTGAATTGTCTCTTTTCTATTTTTGTTTGGAATTATGAGATGGCCTTGCTATGTAGTCCTGGCTGTTCTCAAACCTGGAGCAATTCTCCTACCTCTGCTCCCCGAGTGCTGATATTACACACATACAATACCATGCATGAATCTGTTCTTTATCAGGAGCTATAATCACACAGATACTACTTTTTTGTATTTCTGTAGCTTTCTAACTTTGTTTCCTTTTTACTCTCCTCCCAATGCCATTTTTATTTTTCCATTGTTTTACTTTAATGTCTTCTTTCGATGTACTTGATTATTACATTTTCACTCGAGTTTATTCTCCTTTGAGTAACTTGGAAGTTCCACTTTTGAAAAACTAAACTTTTGATGCCTCTCTGTACACACCAGAGTTCAGTTAGCTTTTTTTATTTCTTATATTTCTGTTTTGTTTTTTTATCGGATTTTGGTTTATTTCTTTTTAGACTGCTTCAAGGTGGAGATTCTCACATAGGTATATGTCACTGACTTTCTAATTCAAGGTGATTTTTAAAATAGTCTCTTGTTTTTAATATACAACATTTAATTATCTTTTGAGTGTAGGTTTGTAGTTTTCTTCTGCTTCATGGTTTCTGTAGAGAAATTTTCCTCAGGTGAGAAATTTTCTTTTTCTATTTGTCAACAAATAGATGCTGTCAAGTGTTAATTTTTAAAATAAAACCCATGACTATAAGGTAATATTTTACTTTTATTTCCTGGGTTCTTTTTTTAATTGATATTTATTGAGCTCTACATTTTTCTCTGCTCCCCTCCCTGCCTCTCCCCTCCCCCTTCAATTCTCCCCCAAGGTCCCCATGCTCCCAATTTACTCAGGAGATCTTGTCTTTTTATACTTTCTACTTCCCATGTACATTAGATCTATGTAAGTCTCTCTTACTGTCCGCATTATTCTCTAAGTTCTCTGGGATTGTGGTTTGTAGGATGGCTTTCTTTGTTTTGTGTTAAAAAAACCACCTGTGAGTGAGTAGATGTGATAATTGTCTTTCTGTGTTTGGGTTACCTCATTCAAAATAATGTTTTCTAGCTCCATCCATTTTCCTGCAAAATTCAAGCTGTCGTAATTTTTTTTTTTTTTTGCTGTGTAGTACTCCATTGTGTAAATGTACCACATTTTCCTTATCAATTTTTTGATCGATCAGCATTTAGGTTATTTCCAGGTTCTGGCTATGACAAACAACACTGCTATGAACAATGTCCTTGTGGCACGATTGAGCATCCTTTGGATATATGCCCAAAAGTGGTATTACTGGGTCTTGAGGAAGGTTGTTTCCTAATTTTCTGAGAAATCGCCACACTGACATCCAAAGGGGTCGTACCAGCTTGCATTCCCACCAGCAATGCAGAAGTGTTCTGTTTACCCTGCAACCTCTCCAGCATAAGTTGTCATCAGTGTTTTTGATCCTGGCCATTCTTTCAGATGTAAGATGAAATCTCTGAGTTGTTCTGATTTGCATTTCTCTGATGACTAAGGATGTTGAACATTTCCTTAAGTGTCTTTCAGCCATTTTAGATTCCTCTGTTGAGAGTTCTCTGTTTAGGTCTGTACTCCATTTTTTTTATTGGATTATGTATTCTTTTGGTGATCAATTTCTTTAGGTTTTACTGGTATTGTGTTGCTCTTTGTGGTGTAGCATGTGATTTTTACCTTTTCTACTCATCTTTTCCTCTAATAGGTGTGGTTGGGGTTGTCTGAGATTCTGTTGAATAATCTAGGTGCCAGTGAATCCAAAGCTCAAATGGTCGTTCATCATGGTACAGTCAGTGTCACAGTTCTAGTTACCCCATTGGTTATTCCTGTTCCTGGAGGTAGCTCAGTGCTCCTTTGCTTTGGTCTGCTTGGTCCCTTGGAGTCTGCTGTCTCAATCCTACTTTGGCCTAGGCTGCGGCATTGATCTGTTTCTGTAAATGCTGGTCTGGATCTCCTCCTGCAGAAGGCCCTGGCTTGGAGTTGGACCTGTTGTGGTGATCACTGACTCTGGATCTGGTCGCTGGCTGGCTCAGTCCTGATCCACCCGTGTCCCAGGACTGGGTTTTCTCCTGGCTTCTGCTCCTAGTGGAGCTTGTTCTCTCTGTGTCTTAGGTAACTGGTTCAGTCCCAATCTTGTTCCGGTGGAGATAGCAGACTCTGAGTCAGGTTGCTGGCTCAGTCCTGATCAGCCAGTGTTCTGGGACTGGGTTGGCTCCCAGGGTTCGATTAGCTCCTGGCTTCTGCTCCTGGTGGAGCTTGTTTCCTCAGGCTCTCTCTGTCCTAGGAGTCTAGTTCTGTTTCACTCCTGTGGAATTTGTTGCCCCAGGTGGAGTTCCTTACCTCAGGGCAACTTTGGCTTAGGTAACTGGCTTTGACCTGTATCTGTAAATCCTGGTCTGGATTCCATTCTGCAGAAGTCCCTAGGTTGGAGTTGGACGTGGAAAGGTTTCTGGTTCCGGTCTATTGCCTGGAAGGTTCCAGGCTAGGGTGCGCCTGAACCCGCAGGGGACCTGCTTACGTGCTCAGACCCGCAGGGGTTCCAGGTTCCTGCCTATTCCCTTTGATGACACAAACCAGTGCTGGAACCCACAGAGGACCTGGCTCAGGCTATAGAAGGAGCTGCGGGCCTACTTTTCATCCCGCCCAGCTCCCGTATGGCTAACTTTACACCCGAAATAACACCACACAAATTGTATTCTTTTAAACACTGCTTGGCCCATTATATCTAGCCTCTTCTTGGCTAACTCTCATATCTTGCTTAACCCATATTTAGTAATCTGTGTAGCACCAAGGTCTTACTGGGAAGATTCTTGTGTACGTCCATCTTGGGCTGGAACTTCATCGCGTCTGTCCTGGAGAGGAGAGGCATGGCGTCTGCCTCACTTCCTCTTTCCCCCCAGCATTCTGTTCTGTTTACTCCACCCACCTATGTTCTAACCTATCAGGCCAAGTAGTTTCTTTATTGATTAACCAATGAAATCAACAGATTGATATATGACACTCCCACATCATCAGGCCTACACTCTCTGAGGTTCCAGACTCGCGCCTGGCCCTGCTGAGATCTCTGGTCCTGCCTATTCCCTCGGAGGACCCAGGTTCACTCATGCCCAGGGTGACAGAGGTCCTGGTTCCAGCCTAGTTCCTGGGAGGTCCTAGACTCTGGCCCAGATCCACCAGGGTGTTGGCTTAGGTCTACTCCCTTGAAGGTCCTGGATTCACGTCTGGACCCTCAGCAGTCTCTGGCTCACTTGCTCAGGGGTTCCTCCCTTGTACCTGTTCTGGTGGAGATTGTTGACTCTGGATCTGGTTGCTGGGTCAATCCTGATCCATTTGTGTCCCAGGATTGGGTTTGCTCCTGGCTTCTGCTTCTGGTGCAGCTCGTTCTCTCTGTATTTCCTGGATTTTTAATAGGGTATCTTTTCATTTGTTTGTTGGACATTGTAATTTCTATTCATTGAAATGTAAAGCCATTTATTTGTGAGGAAGAGCAAGATGTATAAGGAATAGATGGGGGAGGTTTCATGAATTTGCTATACTTACAATACCAAATAGGTTACTGCTTATAAAAGATTAGAGAATTGCAGAGGCTGGAGATGGAAATTTTGAGATTGGTGGTTTATAGGAAGTATATAAAACTATGAACCTGAGTGCTGGGGAGAGTATAGATGACGAATAGTCCAAGGATTGATGTCACTGGAAGAAAAATGAGCTCACTGTAAAAGATCAGTTTGCCAAGAGGGGTAAATGAAGTCAAAGTAAAGAAAGAATAGGAAGAGATGTTACTATAGATTTGGCTGATAAGTTTCATTAATGATTTGGCTAGAATAGTTGGGTTCTGTGGCTAGAGGTGGTGGAAAACCAACTTGATAATGTAACTAGCAAGATTGGGAGGAGAAAAACCAGAGATAATGACTATGGCATATATACAGCTTTTTTCCTGATATATTTAATATATATGTCTCAAAAAACCAAATAATAATAATAATAATAAATCCTTCTTTTTGTGGTCCTTTTAACACCAGGATTAGGATCTAGCAATCTCTGTTAACCATCCTTCCAGGTATTCCAGTGCACACCAAAATTTGAGAGTCTCCACTCCAAAGTACATATTTATGTGGTATTTGGATATGGGCATGTTCAACATTTTGCGGTACTTCTAGTCTACTTATACTTATGTATATTCTTGCAGTGCACGAGTGTTCCTCTTGTGCCTCCTCTCCAAAATAAGGACTTCATATTTTTTAATTTAATGGAGGTGAAAAGGCTGGTTATTTCTTTTTTATTTTATGGGGAGTTTTCAATTACTAATTCATCTCATACATTAGTGGTTATTTGAAATTTTTTTAGGGAGATACACTGTTTAGAGACTTTGCCTATTTAAATTACTACTACTATGTAAATAAATAAGATCTGTTGAAGTAATCACTGAACAAACCCAGAATCCCTAAGGAGAAAGAAATTCAAGGAAGAGCCCTGGGGCATCTGGCATGGGGGCATATATGACACTCAAACAATTTAGGAAAGTACAGGCAAATGGAGGCAAGGGCATTGATATAGGAGGACCAGCATGACCTAATTAGGGAAAACAAAGAGTTTGATTTGAACTCAGGCAGGGTAAGTAGAGGAAAACAGACAGGCATTTAAAGTTAAAACAATGTGCATGTTGGATATTATTATTATTATTATTATTATTATTATTATTATTATTATTATTATTTTCGTTTTTTTTTTTTCAAGACAGGGTTTCTTTGTGTATCCTTGACTCACTAGACCAGACTGGCCTTGAACTCACAGAGATCTACGTGTCTCTGCCTCCTGAGTGCTGGAATTGAAGGCAAGTGCCACCATGCTTGGCTTAATTTAATCTTTTACTAATAGTGAAGCATTAAGATTAATTTGGCTGGACTTTATTTTGCTTTCCTTTCTTGTTATAAATATGCATTATTGTTTTTTCTCATTTAAAACACTTATTTTTTAAGACTTTTGCTTTTTGTTTTTTGAGAGATTCTCTGTGTAGTCCTGGTTTGTCTTGGAACTCACTCTGTAGACCAGGCTGGCCTCAAACTCACAGAGATCCATCTACCTCTGCCTCCTGAGTGCTGGGATTGAAGGCATGAGCCACCATTGCCTGGCAAGACTTATTTTTATTTTATGTGTATGTGTGTCTGGATGCCAGAAGGGGGCGTCTGTTTCCCTGGAACTGGAGTTCTAGCATGGAATTGAGCCAAGGTCTTCAGCAAAAGCAGCTTGTGGCTTTATTTGCTGAGCCATCTTGCCCTTCCCGCCTTAAAATTATTTTCTTGCTGGACTATAGCAAATGCAGACAGGTGGATTCTGGGACCCATGAGCCAGCCTTGTCTAATCCCCAGGCCCCCAAAAGAAACAAAGTAGCAAAAAGAAGCAAAGAAGCAGAAAAGAAAACCCTCATGCATAACTGAGGTTAGAGGTGCCCTTTATCTGTCTATCTATCTCTTCCCTTCTTTATAAATACCAGCTCATACACTGTGGATAGATCATGGTCCTACTACTAGGGTCTCCACAAACAGTCCAAGCTGCACAACTGTCACCCACAGGTAGAGTTCTGTCTAGAGTCCCTGGGCTCTCACCAGCTTGGATCAGCTCGTTTGATGCTGTGTTTCAAGGACTTTTCTGATCAAAACAATAGACCAAGCACCCTTCATATGCAGTACTGTAGTTCTTAACATCAAATCATTGGTGTTTAGACTGAGGGACTCTGATCTAGGATCACCACCCTAGAAAGCCTTTTCCAACTAAACTTGGACCTTTTGTGATATTCTGTAGTTTTGTGGTTTTGTTTTTCCTTTTCTGTTTGGGAAAAATCAAACTAGTATTTTTTTAAGTCTAGGACAAAATCTTATTTATATTACAAAATTTTTCCTTTTTTTCATTTTTTTTTCTAAGACAGCTCTCACTATGTAGCCCTGGCTGTTCTGGAAATTACTATGCTGACCAGGCTGGCCTTGAACTAAATCAGCCTGTGTCTCCAAAGAGCTGAGAATAAAGGTGTACACCACTATGCCCTGCTATAAAATCTTTAACCCAAATGTATGTGCATGTATAGGCCAGAGGACAGCCTGAGTGTCTTTCCTCGGGTGCATCCACTGTGTATATTTGTGTGTACATGTGTTGGGCTTTCAAGGAGAGGCCAAAAGTTGATGTTGGGATGGTTTTCTCAGTCATTTTACCTTATTTTTGTGATAGATTCTCTCATTAAATGTGGAGGTTCTTATTTGGCTACACTGGTTAGCAAGTCCCAGAGATCTTTCTGTCTCTGGTCCCCAGTGCTGAGATTTACACAGCCATACAGGTGCCTGGGATTTGAACCACACATAATCCTGGCTGCTCAATAAGAATTTTAGCTATTTCTCTCCAGCTTCATTTGTTTTTTTAGGTGGTTTCTCATTGGCCTGGACTGTGCTACATAGGTTAGCAATCTGCCTATTTCTACTTCTTGGCACTAGATTACGATGGAGCTAACTTCCCAACCCCTTTCTATGTTTTTATTCTTTTCATTATCAAAAATCCGTGCTCATACTTTTTTTTTTTTGTCTAAATAATCTTTATTCTCCTCTGGCCAATCCAGCCATTGTAAGTCTTGTACGTGTATCTAATTTCCACATTTTTTGTGAATTTTTCAGTTTTCCACTAGTTACAATTTTTAGTTTCATTGGAAAGAGAAAAATAAAGTTGATAGGATTTGTTGATTTGTTGAGACTTCTACAGAAAATGTTCCAATGCACCTGAAAAGACTCTCTACTCTACTGTAGTCAGAAGGAATATTCTAGATGGGTTTATTAGACCCATTTCTTCTAAAACATAGTTCAAATTCAATGCTTCCATGCTGATTTCCTCCCCAAATGGTCTTTCACTGTAGAAGCAGAATACGGAAGTCGCTCCCGTCACTGCTATGCTGGCTACTGCTCCCTCAGAGCTGCTAATATTGGCTGTTATGCTCAGGAGCTTGGACAGTAGTTCGTGTGTATTTTTAATGTCTCATCTTCTAGAGTAGAGGGAGGGGGAAAGGAGTGGGGGGAGGGGGAGAAGGGTGGGAGGAGGGGGCGTAGGGGGGGAGGAGGGGGAGGGAAATGGGAGGCTGGGAGGAGGTGGAAACTTGTTTTTTTTTTTCTCCTTTTCTCAATAAAAAAAAAGAGGAAAATAAATAAAAACAAGAATCATAAAACCACAAAGGAAGACAGTGAGAAAGGAAGAAAGGAAGTGTAAAATAGGCAGAATCCAATGGAAAATGGGAATAGTGAGTTCTCATCTCTCAGTGACTACTTTAAATATAAATGGGTTAAATTTTTTTGTTATATGACAAATGGTCTTAGTAGATTTAAAATCAAGATGAAATTATATGCTGGCCAACAGATTCATTTTAGTTTTAAAGATGCAAATTCTGACCATGAAGGGATGGAAAAGGATGTTTCTTACAACAATATCCAAAGGAGAACAGTAGTAGCTACACTTACCTTAGACAAAAGGGACCATAAGCAAAAGACTGTCATAACAGTCAGGTGCAGTGGTGTGTGCTCATAGTCCTACCTACGCTGTCACAGAAGCTTGAGAGCAGTGGGGAAACATACTGATACCCTGTCTCAAAAACAGAAGAACAATGAAAAAGGGACAGTGAATGCCATATGCCGTAACTGAAGGACTCTACTCTAGAAGACGTGCTCATACTTTTTTTTTTTGGTTTTTTTTTTTTTGGTTTTTCGAGACAGGGTTTCTCTGTGGTTTTGGAGCCTGTCCTGGAACTAGCTCTTGTAGACCAGGCTGGTCTCGAACTCACAGAGATCCGCCTGCCTCTGCCTCCCGAGTGCTGGGATTAAAGGCGTGCGCCACCACCGCCCGGCTACGTGCTCATACTTTTATTCAGATGTTTCGGTTTCTCCTTTCTGTAACTTTGATGGGGCCCCTGTAAGAGTCAGACCTTTTGTTATCCTCTGTACTTTGGTGGTCTATGATAAGAGAACCAAGACTGGAATATATTCCCCCAAATTAGGCATCCTATTAATTCTGTACCCCTTTATAATTTCTAAATGAGGGTCCTAAAAATATGGTTGTTTGTGAAGGTGACTACCTTGGGGCAGTTTGAAAGCCATATCTTGAAAACCTTGCCTTATACTATAGAGTCTGTCCTTGTTGAACTAAGCTTCAAAGGTTTCCTTCTTGATGTAGTTGATGATTACAAAAAGATACTAGGTATCTGATTAAACATAAAGAAGGGGTAGAAAATACAACTAGATGCCAGGGCCCAGTCCAGGAATGACATAAAGATAATCTCCTAACAATTCCACGTGCTCATGTAAAATCTCAAAATTTTATGAGAAGCTTTAGCAAGTGACTGAGAGCCAGACAATTCTCTTGTCTCTATTACCAGCCAAAGAAGTGAAATAATGCTGGGCAGTGGTGGAGACATAACAAGGGGTTAGGGTTGTTCTAGATAATGGCAGAAATGGGAGGCAGGGAGACTACAGGCTGTAAGTGAAAAGTTATAAGGCAGTATTTGGGGAAGAAACTTTATGTTTTGGATCTGAAGATCTACTAATTAAGCTTATGTAAAGTGCTTGCTTATTAGGACTTGAGTTCAGATCCTTAACCTCCATATAAAAGCTAGGCATAATGGTACATATTGGGAAACCCAGAAATGTGGGGAAGGGAACCAGGACTGGGACTCCGTTAGCTTGATGGCTAGTCTGTCCAGCTAAACAGGTGTGCTCCAGGGCAGTAAGAGATCTTATTGTAGAAAACGTGAGAGAAAAACACCTGAAATCAGGAAGACAGCCTTGACACCCCCCACCCTAATCATCATGAGTCTACCTCTGCACCCATACACACAAAAAGTGAAATTGGTTTTTATTTATTTATTTATTTTTGGATTTTCGAGACAGGGTTTCTCCGTAGCTTTTGGTTCCTGTCCTGGAACTAGCTCTTGTAGACCAGGCTGGCCTCGAACTCACAGAGATCCGCCTGCCTCTGCCTCCCAAGTGCTGGGATTAAAGGCATGCGCCACCACCACCCGGCGTGAAATTGATTTTTAAATCCTGCTGACAATCAAGATTAAATACCCTCCGTGTTAATCTACAATCAGTTTACCTCAACAGGGTCCTTTTCCTTTATTATGGCTGACTGGGGTGGTGGTGGGAGTAAACTGCCTCAGGACTAAAATGGGGTGCAGATCAGTCTCTTTAGGCAATGTCCTCTTTCACTCAAGAATGGATTTGCACCTAAGTCATACATTAAATATTGTGTAGGCAGACTTTTTTTTTCCTCGCCTGCCAGTTCCCAAAGAACCTACATGGAGACTTTATATAAATTATAAATGCTTGGTCAATAGCTTAGGCTTATTACTAACTAGCTCTTATAATTTAAATTAATCCATTTTTATTAATCTATGTATTGCCACGTGACTCGTGGCTTTACCTGTCCTCCAATATATCTTGCTCCCCCTGTATCTCCTTGTAACCTCACCATGTTTGCCTGACGATGACTCTGACTCCATCTTTCTTCCCAGTGTTCTTATTCTGGTTTTCCCATCTAACCTTATCCTGTTCAGCTATTGGCCAATCAGTTTCTTTATTAAACCAATTACAGTGTAATTTATACAGTATACTGAAGGATTATTCCACAGCAAAACTGGTTGGGCCCCTGACCAGAAAACAAAAGAGTAAGTCAGACAAACCAGAAAAGGTGAGCAGATAAGTAGTGGTAGGAGTAGAGAGTAGAAGCCTCAGAACTTCCACTACTCAGATGCAGTTGCCTTGGAAATATTGCAGAAAGGGAATTGCAGGACAAGTCAGAATAAACAGTACATACTTTAGATTTAAGCATAAAATGTTAAATATGGGTTGAGTTTTCACGGGTGCTGAGATGTTACCAGGCTAGAGTAGTTTTTTTTTTTCTGTTTTTCTATTTTGTGAGTATACTGTTTTATTTTTCAATGTTGGTATGATAGCAAAGCTAGAGGTGTGTTTTGCCTTCTTTTATTTAGCCAGCCTTTGAAAGCTGATGTGTGTTTTATATTTATAGTACACCTCAAGATGGTCTACCATGTCTTTTACTTTTTTTGAAGCAGGGTCTTGCTATGTAACCCAAGTTGGCCTCAAATTTGGTATATAGCACAGGCTGTCTTCAAACTCATCCTCTTGTCTTAGCTTTCCAAGTTCTAGGATTATGCTACCATGCCTAGCTATGTTTTTACACTGTCCTGGTACTTGCTCTGTAGATCAGGTTGGCCTCAAACTCACAGAGATTGCCTGCCTCTATCTCCTGAGTGCTGGGATTAAAGGCATGTGCCACCACTGCCTGGCTCTGTTTTTACATTTTAATGGATTGTTTGGTTTTATTTTATTTTTGTTGTTTTATTTATTATTTATTTATTTATTTTTGAAATAGTGTTTCTCTGTGTAGCCCTAGCTGTCCTGGAACTCACTTTGTAGACCAGTCAGGCTGGTCTCAAATTTATAGAGATCCCCATGCCTCTACATGCTGAGTGCTGGGATTAAAAGTGTATACTACCACTGCCTGGCTAAAGGGATTATTTTAATAAGACAGAATTAATAGACTTAATTCATATCTTATGTTGTACAACATCTACAACAAATTTCAATGTAGTCCTTTACAGAAAGCACTTGTTGATCTTGTTTGAAGTCTTTTTATCTTGACAGTATTTTACTAAGGAGGGTGCTCTTATTCCTGTTTTGCAGATCAGGAAATAGATGCACAGAAGAATTAAGCAGCTTTCTCTTTGCATTTGCCAGAGCATACTGCACTCTAAAAACAAACAAACAAACAAACTTGCTAATGTTTTATTTCTTTGCAGTGTGAAAAGTGGATCAGGTGACTCATATGCTAAAGGATGGTACGGTCAAGATCCAGATCCCCCAGGTGGAAACAAAGGTGAGGAGTTCCATGTCTTACGCAGTTAACTTGAATTTGGAAATCATCATTTCTGCTCAAGCTTCCATTAAACTTCCAATAATCTCACTGGACCTGGATGTTCACAATAGGCAATTGATCAGTATTTCTAAATCCAGGAAGCTGATGAATTTTTTTTAATTGGGGCTGGTAGCTTGAATTTATAATAAAAAGGAATTGAGTGACCACAACCAGAATGAGAAATGACTTTGAGAGGGTTAAATTCCTTTTAGCTAATGAGGTTTACAACTCTTCAATGTATGCTTCATTTAAGTTTTCATAATATGTTTCAAGAAATTTAGTCAGAAAATAAAGTGTTTTCTATCTTGGCAGAATAGTGGATTTAAACAGCTCAATTATATTTCAACTTTCATTTTTTTCTGGTATTTAGTATCAGTACTATAGTACACATAATTAGATTGGAATAGTTCAACCAGTTTATTGTATATCACCTACAGCCAAGTTCTGGGACTACAAATACAAGTAGGGCCATCTTCATGGCCTCAGCAAGCTCACAGGTTGGCTGTAGGGGAGTAACGCAATAGGCGGTTCTGATCCAGTGGGGAAAGTGCTGTGCTCATGATTGGGCAAAGCATTCTGCACTTGTAGGGAAAGAATAATTCTGCTTTGTAGCCAGTAAGTTTTTGGACTGATGTAAAGGACTACTATTACATACATTAAAAATGAACTATGATTTTTATGTTAATATAGCTTGGCTATTCTTGCTTCAATAATACAGTAAGTCATCAGTCATTTAGTTTTATAAATGCCACAAAATCATGTTGTATTTGGTAGAAATTTCAAAAAGAAAAGAGAATGTTAAAGATAGAAATGACTATAACATGGATGATAGCACAGAGATCATTTTATTTTATTCTTTTAGTGAGGCTCTGGTAATGGGCACAAGGATTCCGTCAAGCATAGTGCCTGATTTTCTAATTCCTTCTCCAGGGTTTTTTTTTATTATTAAGAACTATGAAAGGTTTGACATTTTGGTCCTACTTGCAAGCGACGTACAACTTTGCCACAAGGCACTCCCATGTCAGAAATATTCGCTCTACCTTCTAAAATCTCCTGAGGGCCAGCTCTTCAGAGTGGCTGGTTGGTGGATGATGCAAAACAGTCACAGGTTCTGGGGTTGTGAGACAACTGAGGAACTTGAGTCACTTGTACTTGTAGTTAGTATTATCTTATTAACGTGGGCAACAAACAAATAAACCCTCTAACCCCGAGGGAGACCTTATCTCTGTTTCCAAGACTGTTTCCTGGTGAACCAAAGTTGTCACTACTTGTAAGGCTTGCAACATTCTAGAGACTGGACAGTTGTCTCTAACAGGCTGTTAGGGTCTCTTTTGTCCCTTTAGGAGAACTAGAAATGTTAACCATTAAAACAACTATTTCTAGAAGAAGTAAGTACTATACAATAAGACACAAAATACAGCGGTAGAGTAGATTTAAATGTGAATTAAGGGCTAAAGTTAAATCTTGAATAATTTCATTCAGTCTGGAAGATGTTTGCCTCTGACTGTCAGGTTCTCTCCTTAGCAGTGAAAAGAGATGAAATATCCCAGTAAGGCCGGGCAGTGGTGGTGCACGCCTTTAATCCCAGCACTGGGGAGGCAGAGGCAGGCAGATCTCTGCGAGTTCGAGACCAGCCTGGTCTACAAGAGCTAGTTCCGGGACAGGCTCCAAAGCTACAGAGAAACCCTGTCTCGAAAAACCAAAAAAAAAAAAAAAAAAATCCCAGTAAATCCTCAGAGCCGCTAGTTACTTCCTATCCTGTAATGAAGTATAGTCATCTGGATGACAGTTTCTGCTTCTGTCTAGCTTGGTGTCTCTGGAAGGCAGTAGTGCCAGTAAATGTCCTAATAGGTACTGAAGAAAATAGGTATTCCTCCTTTCTTGTGTAACGATCCAGATTTTTCATTGGAAAAAAAAGAATTCATTCATGATTGCTCCAATTACTTAGGAGCTTCTTAGAGCAAGTAAATTTAAAAAAAAATGCCAGGGCACACCTTTCTTACTGATTTGAAGACATTAAACCTTAAAGGAGATTATGAGAAATTGGTCAGGTCACATGGCAGAAAGGTTCTCAGGTGTAAAGGTAAGCTTTATTGTGTTCTTTCCTTATCTTTTTTTTGTTTTTTTGTTTGTCTTTTGTTGTTTTGGCTGACTTGTTTTTTGAGACAGGGTCTCACTGGCTGACCTAGTACTTAGTATATAAACCAGACTGGCTTCAAACTCAGAGATCTACCTGCGTGTGCTTCCCAAGTACAGGGATAAAAGGTGTGAGGTACTATGCCCAGCCACCTTCCTTATCTTTAAGGCTGAGTAAACTACAGTGTTTTCCATGAATATGGGAGTCTTTACAAGTCTGCAGACTTGCAGTGTCAAGGTACCAGAAAAGATAGATGCAGAGAAGCTATAATACTGTCCCCTGTATGTAGGGTCCTTAGATCACTCCAAATGACCAGAAGACACCAACCAGGTATGTAATTACAGAAAGCAACTTCATTCTTGAGAGAGAAAAAACCCCCAGCATGCTGGGGCCTGCCCAAAATGGCTTCGACCCTGGGGGAGGGCAAGGCAGCCCCTTTTAAGCCTGTTTAGGGGAATTTCAGCTTTGGCTAAGTGTACTTTGAAGTGATTGGGTATAGACCCTTACTGATACAGGAATCATTTTATGATTGGCTCATGACCTTTGGTCAGCAACTGTGGTTGCAGTGTCAGGGGTCTGTCGGAATGAAAATAGCCAGTTCCTGCTTGTGTACAGGTAGGACCTCATTGACTACCAGACTGGATGTACTTCCTTAGGATCTGGTTGAAGCCAGACATGAGTCAGAATAGGATGGCGGGGTAATATGGGGCATAGGTCTTAGTAAACTGGCCCCTGGAAAAAAACAACTGTTCCTGGTCCCTTCAACAACACACTCTGGCTAGATTTATAAGCTCTTTAAACAACACATCTTTCAATTAATATATAAGGGTCAGAAGATTTTGGAAAGAACAGAAGTTTATGCTAGAAATATTTATGGAGGGATAGGTATAGTAGTCCACTCTTGTATTTCCTGCATACTAGTGGCAGAGACAGAAAGATTGCTTTAAGTATAAGGTTAGCTTTGTTAATAGAAACAATACCGGTCAGGGCTGCTTTTTTTATAGAGTGGGAGTTGATTTTTTTCTTAAAAACAAACAAACAAAAAACTCTAATATATGAAGAAAAAGTAGAGATTGATATCTTATGATTATTTTCTCTTTTCTGCCCCTGCTACCTGTTAAGCTTCTTACTTTGGTATGACCATGAAGGAGAGAACAGTTGGGAAAACTATGGAAACATTTCTTGGTATGAGTTTGAATTGTAGAATGCGGTTTCAGAGGTCATGTTCAGTTTTCTAAACACTCTGATATATTTGTTCTTACTTTGCTCTTGCTTGTTTCTCACTTGGCTATTGAACCTGATGGAAGCTTTTCCTGATTGGCCTTTTGGAGTTGCTATATTTTCTTTAGTTAGAACTTTTCTATCAGTAGTCTCTAAAAAAAGATTGTGCTATATAGCTGATCTGGTCCCCCTCCAATATGATAGATCTGTTTAACCCAGTTGGATGTGCTCATTGAATACATTAGTTTTGTTGAAGAGAATACAGTTGTCAGGTAGGACAAAACAGTTATTAGACCTCCTCACCCCAATATATAAATTCCAGGTATATATATATATAACAAATTTGTAGATTTACCTCAAGTGAATTAGTAGTGGAATTCTAGGAAAGGTCAGTGTTTTATGTAAGTCACACTATACAAACAGTTAAATGTCTTAAAGTTAACTAAACTTCTCTATGTTTGTTCACATAGGTCATTATCACCACAATCTAGGAATTTTGAATACTATGAGGAAAGACATTTCCATGGGCATTATGATCCTGAATATAGAGATGATCCAAAAAGACCCTTTACTTGGAGACTGGACGATGAGAAACGTTTACAGAATAAACTAAGGATTTCCCCTCGTGTGAATCCTTATTATCGGTCTTATGAAAATAGATCACCTTCCCCAAATATAAAGTCTGTAGAAAAATTTGACACATATAATCCTCACCAAGAATATTACCCTGGAAGAGGGGATGATGACAGAAGATCTCAATATATGCCCACATACTCAGAAAGTGCAACAACCTATACAGAGCATGAAAGGGATTGCTATTCCCCCCAAATGCAAGGAAGGTTTATTCCTGAAGAGCACAGAGTTAGAGGAAGTGGGAGAGGAGGGAAGCCATCTCAGATGTCACTGGAAGATTCCTTTGGATTTGAAGAGACATGGCATGAAGATGAATTGAGACACCAGAGGGTCCAAGAAGAAAACTATCCTCAGTCACCCAGAAGAGGCTCAGAAGACTTTGATGCAAGGAACCCTTTTCAGAAGAGGTACAGGAAATCATTAAGCCTGGGCAGTTTGGCATAAGGCCTCAAGTAAAAGAGTCTTACTTTTATGTTGACTGTGATCACCTTTTTTTTATCTCAAAAGATGAAAATATTTCTTTTTTGCCAGGCGGTGTTGGCACATGTCTTTACTCCCAGGATTTGGGAGGCAGATACAGGCAGATTTCTGTGAGTTCAAGGCCAGCCTGGTCTACAGAACCAGTTCCAGAACCCGCTCCAAAGCAGCGCAGAGAAACCCTGTCAAAAATCAAACAAACGAAAAGATTATTTCTTTTGAAGTAATTCATGCTAATAGCTAGAATATGTTTTTCTTTTCTTTTTGGTGTTTGAGACAGTGTTTCTCTGTGTAGCCCTGACTGTCCTGGAACTCACTCTGTAGACCAGACTAGTCTTGAACTCAGAGATATGCCTTTATCTCCAAGGTGGTGGGATTAAAGTTATGTGCCTCCATGCCCAGCTAAAGCGAGAATGTTTTTAAAAGCTGTTACTCTTTAACTTCATGTGTTTTTATAAGTTGGCATGAGGTCTTATATCTTGTCATTGCAATGCTGTGTTTTAAGGTCAGATTGCTCAATATTCTACGCATTGAAATTTTTTACTTCAGTATATTGCGAATATAAACTTTTTTATGTCAACACAGGTATCCTGAGGATCATGATTTCAGAAAGTATGACTACACACCAAAAAGACCTATAGATGCAGCAAGGTATGAAACTAGAGAGCCGGCCAGAATCTCAAAGTGGAAGCCTGAGCATTCTTTTGTACCTTTTCAAGAGAAGGATGAAGAGTGGAGCTACGGATCACAAAGCCATAGATACACTGAGAGAGAATACCCAGAGCTGATTTCAGCAACCAGAGTATCTTATGACTACCGTCACAAACATCATAAGCTTTCAGACAGTGAGCAGGACTTTCCTGATGAGAGATTTCAGAAGTACTTGAAGGAAGAAGACAGAAAATACAGTTCTCTGAAAGTTTCTGGAAATAGAGAGTCAGATTTTTTCAGTACTGCAAGAGGAAGAGAGAATGAAAATGATCAGGTCAATGGGCCCTTTCAACTATACAAGAAAGACTGCATTTCCTATACTAATACAAATATAAAGGAAGCTGATTTGGGGCCTTGCAATGACAAATGGAAGAAAAAAATAAATAAAGAAGATTGCAGAAAAGAGAGTGCCTCTTCTAGTAAACAACCTGATGCAAGCCCAAAGCATGAAGAGAAACGATATTCATTTGTCAAGAAGAAATCACTTTCTGTTCAAGTAGATGTGAACAAGAGGAACACATTTAGGTATTAGCATTTTTAAATATTTATTAATAGATTTTTTCCACCTTAATTTTCAGTTTCCAAGATGGGATTTGTACTGTTGGTTAGATTACATTGAGTGTTCAAGAAATTACCAAGATTTTTCCCCAAAGTCCTGTAATGAGGAAAAGTTCTGTAGCTAGTAATAGGTGTGTTTTCTGGTTCCCATAGCTTATCTCCAGATAATTCTTAGGTTTAGGGCATTTCAAGGACTTATTTCTCTTTATGAAGTTAGATGTTTTTATACTGCCAGGTGTTTTTTTTTTAATCCAGTCATAGGAGAGTTCAGCTTCTATTCTTTTTGTTTGCGTGTTTGTTTTTTGAGACAAGGTCTTACTATGTAGCCCTGGTTCTCCTAGAACACTCTTTGTAGACCAGGCTGACCTCAGACTCAGAGAGATCAGTCTGCTTTTGTCTCCCAAGTACTGGGGATTAAAGGTGTGTGCTACCACCATACCAGGCCAGCATCTATTCTTTATGCAGCTTCTTAGACTGTTCCTTGTTGCTTTTGACGTTCATAGAATCTTTTAGCAAGAAGGAATCTTAGCAGGTCCTTATTTTATAAAGGATAAAAGTTAGATTTTAGAAGTGGAAATGTCTTTTTTTTATGTCTTTTTGGGATCCCAGGAGACAGATAACTTGATGTATGATTCTTACTGTGGTTTCAACATGACTGAATTTAACTGACTAGATTATTATCCAATATGAGGGAATGAGGCTATAATTTTTGTGTGCCTGAGCATGCATGTGTGTGTGTGTGTGTGTGTGCTTGCATGTGCATACGTGAATGTTGGCACATATGTTCCATGGCAGGTGTGGACATAACAGAGAGAGCACAGTTTTAGGGAGTTGTTTCTCTCCTTCCACCATGAGTTCTAGGGATCAAACTCAGGTCATGAGGCTTGCATGGCAGATTCTTTTACTGCTGAGTCATCTTGCTATCAAACAGTTAATTTCTTAATAGATTTAGTTTCAAAACACTATTCTAAGCTTCTCATTGTTTATAGTGAGGGAGAATTTTTATTAAGTCAGGTTTTTAGTTTTAATAATAGCTTTTCATGTATAGAAAGTATAGTAGTGGTTCAGAGTGGCTGATTACAATGTTTTGACAATATTGAAGAATAAAAATAGTGTGATTATTTCTTGTATATTAGGTGACTTAATGCCTTGTATGTTTGAAGGAAAAATTCACTTAGAATTGTGATTTGAAAGAGCTCAGGACCTTTTATCTATACTTATCTTCTACTTGTGGTTTATTAGTTTTATAGCATGTACTTTTATGCCTAAATTATGACAGAATAAATATATTTTTAATGTTTAGCTATCTTAATTTTAGCAAATTCCATCCTTATCTAAACAGTTTCAAATTTAATTAAACATCTCAAATTATTTTAGGTCCACTTCTAGATACTCTGCAGAGAGGCAGCTATCACATGATTTGGTTGCTGTGGGCAGAAAAGCTGACAATTTTCATCCAGTATTTCACCATCTCAACTCACCTCAGAACCCTGAAGACAAACCTGCAGAAGAGTTTGCTCAGGAAATCATCACACTAATCCATGAAGTTAAAGGTTGGTAGATTTTGCCCAAACATTATGTATAGCACAAAAATAATGCACTAACTTTTCACAAGACACAAATACTTTAATAATATTCCATTTTGAGTTAGGAAATCTGTTGGAAAGAGTACCAGACATTCATTCAAGCATAGGTTTTTTTTTAGTATTTTCAATAAGTTTCTGCTTCAAATGCTAGTGGACTGCAAATCATTAGTTAGTAAAAGATCAGCCTGCTCCAAACAACAGGCATATTGAGAACCTAACAAAGGAGGAAGAAGCAATAAAAACAGGTATAAATTCCAGATAATCCAGAAGTTAGGTTATTTTATGATATTATCAACCCACCCCCAGGGCCTTCCTAGCACTTTTTACCATAAGCTGGTTCCTGTGTGATCAGTGGAAGATTTCATTTTGTGTGTGTGTGTGACATCAAAGAGTTCATTAGGGCTTTAAAGATTTGCATTAAAGTTTTGTTTCTGATAAATTTCCACTAATTGGAAAAGCAGTGTTATAAAACTACTTTCCCTAGTAGTGCAGCTTAAATTATAGATATTCTAGACAAGAGACTTTTAAGTATGTCAAAATTTTATTTGCTTTCATTTGTACCTTCATGAAACATATTTTTAGAATAATTATTGGTGCTGAAGAGATAGCTCAGCAGTTAAGAGTATTAGCAGCTCTTGAAGAGGCCTCAGGTTCCCAGTACTCGCGTGACTGAAGTATACAGCTTGTTGGGAACAGTTTTTTCTCTCAGCTCAATCTCTTTTTACCCAAAGAAAATATAGTTTTCAGGAAGTATGGTAGTATTTTACAGAAAAAAAATGGAGTGTCCCAGAACAGGACTAGTGAATTAGAGAAGGTTGCTTGCATAGCATTGGGCCGATTAAGTGTATTCTTTTCTATACTATTAAGAACTTGCTGCAGAGCTAATTTTAGAATGTCTTTGTGAATTAAAGTTAATGTAAAAGTGAAGTGGTGTTGGAAGGCACTCTGATATTTAAACAGAACTTCCAGTATTTGTTCAAAGATTATTTTAATTTTATTGCTAATTGATGTAATTTTCACTGCTGTTGAACTATAGAGTGTCTTTCTTACATTCTGGATAGAGTCTCATCTTACCATGGGCCAGAATGATTGTTACTTTGACAATGTCATTCTTGTAGACAAGAAAGTAATCATGGCAGATAGGAAAAAAAATCCTTCAATTTATAAGTCAAGTTTTTAAAAATTCTTTGGTTTTAGAAAACCATGAGCATTCCAACTTAATAAAGCAAATAAAGTTTGGGTCTTGTTTTTATTCCATGAGGAACAATTTGGATACATTTTAATGGCCCCTTCTTGATATTAAGCTTTCTGTAATCTTTTTAAATGGCAATTAGTTTCATGTTGTCATGGAACTATTTCTTTCCTTTTGCAGCAAGTTGTTTTGCACCATCTAATGTTACTTTAAACGAGCGTTTCTCAAGAATACAAAACAGACATGATGCAGATTTCAATGAAATGAAATTGAATTCAGATCCAGAATTTCACAGGTAATGATTACTTTCTTTCCATTTACCTCATGAGAATAAACCTCAGAATAGATGTCAAGCCATTGGAATCGGTTACTTTAAGTGGTCACAAATGATTGTTCTGAGGCCTGAGGATGAAAGAATGCCTTTTGCTGACACTTGTCCAAGCATATCGTATACCCTGTGTGGATTGCTAAGATGAATCAGTGTTAGAATGTTGTGTGTCACCAAAATACAGTTTGAGGTCACTGTTAATAGTGATTAGAGAACCACCAAAACTTCCCTATAATGTGGTCCATAGGATATGTATAGACTAGTACTTTGCCATATGGTGAAAACCTAGCAGGGCATGGTGGTGGTGCATGACTTTAATCCCAACACTTGGGAGACAGAGGCAGGCAGATATCTGAGTTTAAGGCAGTAAGTTTCAGAACAGCCAGGACTATATTAGAAAGACCCTGTCTTAAACAAACAAAATAAATGAAAACTTACCTGACAGCAGGTTTGTTCTGCTTTTTCCAAGACCCACTGGTTTTATTTCAAATCTATTCTGTAGTAAAACAATCAAGGTATCAGTGCATAACATAATTAGCATAATTATTTAACTATATCTCTTTATTATTTTAGGAGAATAGATATGTCTTTGGCCGATCTTCAGAATAAGCAGACTATGGTATATGAACCAGATGAGGTAAGTGAATACAGTTATTATTGGTATATTAGCAGCAAAAGGTTTGTGACAAGATCCAGAAAGGAGTTAAAGATGTATGAAGAAAGGTTGATATCCATGAATCTAAAATTGAAAAAGTTCTCAAAGTGAATGATTGCAGCCCAGGTAGAGTAAGAATACCAAAACACATTTTTTTTGAGATTATTAAGGATAGCTACTTTGAAAAATTGATTTAAAAATTATATTTAATACTCATCCCCAGTCTCCTCAGTGTAAAGCTTACAGAAAATATGATTGATAGCCATTTTTCTAAATCTGGCACATGGAATATATATTTTTAATTGTATGTGAAAGAAATACAAAGGAACTATGGCATTTGGTGCCGCCCTTCTGTTTGTTGTAGAATTTAAGAACTATTCTGTGGATTATAAACTAGCAAAATAACGAAAATAATTCTAAATTTCTATATTATCATGTATGTGGCTCCTACCCAACACTCTCCTTCTGACCTTCTGTTATACTGATTAGAAAGACTGTTGAGACTAACCAGGTTGTCAAATTCTAAATGAATTGTTAAGCTTTCCTTTGAGAATGTTTCTGTAGTGAAGAGATTTTAATGTATTTTTGGTAGACTGTTTAAGTAATTTTTTACTTACAAAGTTTTTGTTAATACAGATAGTTTATTGAATGATATTTTAAGGACATTTCTAATTGTCTTTGTAATCAACTTATAGGAAATTTGAAGACTTAAAAAAATCCATAATTCCTGTAGTTATAATGTGATACATTTTAACAGTCTATCAGATGCAATTCAATATGCTTTTTTCATAATCCATACTATCACTTTTATGTTAAAGTTCTAAATTCCCCCCATGGCCTTTTACAATCATGGTTTTTAAGTTTTAAATTTTTTTCACTAATGTTTTTCATATTGACTTTGATATATCATTTATTGATTTTAGTGACTGTATAGTTTTGTTTTATTTATTTAACCATAATTTAATTCATAGTTCTTTTCTTTAAATTATTTTTACATTTAAGTTGCTCCTTTTTTGTTATTTTAAATATTTTTAAAGAGGCAACCTTTTCTTTGGGATATAATCCCAGAAATAGGATTCCTAGTTCAAAATTAAGAACTTTTCTGACTAATGTCAATTGTGTCTCAAAGCATTTATATCAGTTTATATTACCACTATCAGGATGAGTATAAAATTATTAAGGACTTTTAATTAAGATTCTTATTAGAAATGTAATTGGTTTATATTCTGTCAAAATCCCTCAGACTCTTGTCAAAGTAATAGAGCCAAATGACCTGCGACATGACATTGAAAGAAGGAGAAAAGAGCGATTACAGAATGAAGACGAGAACATTTTTCATATGACTAGTCCTACAGAGAGGTAATCAGTAAATGAAAAATATCCTGCTATCAGGGAGCTTTTGGTTTCAGCAGTTTTTATATTTTTGTATGATTAATGTTAGTCTAGGGATTTAAGTTCTCAGATCTGTTTTATGTTTATTAAAATTATTCATTGGTTATTCCATGAAGTTTGATTTAAACATCAAAAACAATGGGGAGGGTGAATATTTAAGGTCTTCCTAAGTCTAAAGAAGAGAGTATAATAGTTGTTTGAGTGTTACCAGGAGCCAGGACCAACTTTATATAGACTGTTCAGCTCAAGCGGATTAAAACTAATAGGCTTGGGCCTTTATATTCTGACTTAGTTTGAATAACTACAAAATTTTGAGGTCAATACAGTTCTGTTTGGGAACTCTTCTTGGGTCTATGAAGTAGGCAGGCATAGTAGAACAGGTGGAAAAAGTCGGGAGTGGTGGCGCATACCTTTAGTCCTAGCACTGTGGAGGCAGAGGTGATCCATAGTGAGATCCTGTCTCCAAAACTAAACAAAACAAACAATAAAAAGAAACAGCAGAGGAAGACCTCAATTTGAATCTCATTGACTCTGCCCATTTACAAACTGTCAACAAATTTTATGAATCTTTAGGAATCTCTCCATACTATAATGATGAGACCAGCTTATTATGCAGGGAGAGCTATACTATTAAGTCACTGGCATCTTTGAAGTTATGTCATGTACAGCAAAGAGATCATCATCATATCATGTTTTCTTTGCAGGAGTCTTCTATCACACTTCTTTGCAGGAGTCTTTAGTCATCTAAATTGGCCCCAGTCTACCTCTAGTTCTGAGAACTAGTAGAACCTATGGCAACTATGTGACCTCCTTAATGATTATGAGGAATAATTGAATGAGACAATTTCTAGTTTGGTCAAGAGTCCTTAATCAGTTTGAATCTCTCAGAAGCAGGGATTTGAATAGAAAGAAATAATGATAATTCTTTTACATGATCCTTAGTGTCAACTCTTAAAACATTTAAATATTTGACCAGACTTTTAAATCAACTCTAAACCTAAGTAGCCATACTCAAAATACATGAAGTTTGTTTTAACTGGACTTGGTTTTGATAGTAAGTTTGAGACTGATTAAAAGATAGTGAAACTGTGTATTTTGGTATATAAAACAATTGGAATATGGAAAATTTCCTAATATGTTTGCTTAGCACATGGTATTACCTTGTTTTTACTGACAAGCTGTCTGTTGTGTTTTTTCTTGGCTGAGAAAGCATTAGAAACACAGTGTACCAAGAAGTGGATTTTTTAAAAAAACATTTGCGATGATAACCATATCATAAATGCTCCAAGACTTATCTTTACCCTTTGAGATGATTAGAACTTGAATCTGTTTGGGTTCAGTGCCCAGCTCTAGGAACCCTAGCTATGTGAATGACTTGGGGTAGGTTATCTAGCCTTTGTTTCCTCATCTGTGAAAATAGGAATGGGATTTGTGCTTACCTCATAATGGTGATCAGGATTAGGTAAAACGTAGCTGGTTTTCATTAAGCTTGTTAATGTTAGCTTTGAGGACTGTTGTAGCGTGAAACATGATAATTTTTTTAAAAATTCAGTATTTTTTTGCCATAAAATTCACCCTTTGTAAGTAAGCAATTTGAGTTGTTTTTACTATAGTCACAGAGTTGTATAAGAACCACTTATCTCGGCCAGGTGGTGGTGGCCCACGCCTTTAATCCCAGATCTCGGGAGGCAGAGGCAGGTGGATCTCTGTGAGTTCGAGGCCAGCCTGGTCTACAAGAACTAGTTCCAGGACAGCCAGGGCTACTCAGAGAAACTCTGTCTCAAAAAAACCAAAAAAAAAAAAAAAAACAAAAAAACAAAAAAAACCACTTATCTCGTAGGGTGGTGGTGGCATACACCTTTAATACACCTTTAATCCAAGCACTTGGGAGGCAGAGGCAGGTGGACCTCTGTGAGTTCCAGGCAAGCCAGCCTGGTCTACAAGAGCTAGTGCCAGGACAGGCTCCAAAGCTACAGAGAAACCCTGTCTCGAAAAACAAAAAAACAAACAAACAAACAAAAAAAGAACCACTTATCTCAGAAATATTTTGTCACTCCAGAAGAAAGCAGTGTACCTAACTGTGGAACACCCCCTCCCCATTTTTTCATTTTCCCTTCCCTGGAAAACCACTGTTACACATTCTATGGATTGCCTATTTTTGGCATTTCATATAAATGCAGTAATATGTCTGGCATTTCGTGACTTCTTATTTTATGTAGCATGTATTACAAGTTTATCCATACTATAGCACAAAGATTTCTTTTATTGCTAAATAATGCTACATTGTATGGATGTATCATTTGTTGTTTATCCATTTATCGGTTGATGGTCTTTTGTTTTTACTTTTTGATAATTGTGAATAAATAGTGTTGTGAATATTTTGTGTGCAAGTTTCTGTGTGGTCCTGTCTTCATTTTTATTAAGCATATACCTACATGTAGAATTGAGGAGTTAGATGATTATTACCAAACTGTTTTTCAAAATGACTATATCATTTTACACTCTAATAGCAATGGAGAGGTTCAAGTCGTTCATGTCTTTACCATTACCTGTGAGGTTCTTTTTTTCTTTTTTTCTTTTTCTTTTTAAAATGATACCAGATCTGGTGAGATTGCCCAGTGGGTAAACATGCCTGCTGTTAAGCCCAACAATTTGAGTTCAATTTCTGGAACCCATGTGGAAGAAGAGAGCTGAATCCACATGTAGTTCTCTGACCTGATTGTGTAGATTATAGCAGAGGCATACACACACTTACACATGATTATACATGCCTATACAAACACACACAGTGTAAATAAACATAAAATTTTAAAGTTTTAAATGATGAACTGTTCATCTTTGACTCAGTTCAGTTTCCTTACTAAAGTAAAATTTATCCTTTTATCTTAGAAATAAAGTTTGCCAATTTCAGTATGTAGTTTGTAGAGAAATTCAGATAAAACATAATGTCATAAATCATAGGTTTTAGGGCTGGAGAAATGGCTCAGAGGTTAAGAGCATTGCCTGCTCTTCCAAAGGTCCTGAGTTCAATTCCCAGCAACCACATGGTGGCTCACAACCATCTGTAATGGGGTCTGGTGCCCTCTTCTGCCTTCAGGCATACACACAGACAGAATATTGTATACATAATAAATAAATATTAAAAAAATCATAGGATTTAGTGATTTCCTCCTATGGTATTCCCATTAAAATGTAAGTTATATGAAGGCTCTCTGTGTTTGTTCACCAATATATTCCATTGCCTTGAGCTCAGTCCATATTTGCTAAATGTGTAAAGACTTGACAAAGCAATAGCTGTAAGGCATTTCTATCTGGATTACTATTCCTTAATGTCTTGGGATCTTTTACCAACAAACTTAATTCTTTGACATTCCAAACAATGTATAAGACCTTGCTGTTCTCTCTTGACTCCTCAATAATGAATATCTTACCTTGATGTCTCCAGACCTTATGATGTCTCCAAGTCTTCTGGCACATGATTTCTCCTTCTAACCAGAGTTACTAAATCCTCTGCAATGCAAATTGAGATGTATTATATAGGTATGGGCCATGTGTAAACAAAAAGTTTAAAAATTGTAGCACTGAACTCCAAGAGGCCACGAAGCTACCAAAACCTTATTTTTCAGTAGGGAACTTATGGGGAAAGACGGTGTATACTAAACTAAGTGTGAACTTCATCGAGGGCTTTCCATATACAGGTGATACATAATTCCTTGTTGTAAAGTTACATTTTTATGTTTTGTGGATACCATGAAAACTACACAAAACTCTTGACTTCCTGGCACTTGGAACTTGATGGTAGGAGAAAGAAAATGTCATTGCAATGGTAGGTTAAAAACTAAGGTAGAAGTGGAAATTCACAGGAATTCGTGTAATACAGTTTTGCAATTTTAGTGGACATGTGAATTGATTGAAAGAGTCAGCCAGCTACATCATACCTGGGAGTATAGTACTTCAAAACAGGGAACCAAATGCAAAGATGTTAAGGCAAAAGCATGTTTTTTTTCTTGGCTAAGGACTAGAATTATGTCTAGTCGGGTTATAGTAGAGTAGAAAGAAGGGAGGGAGAGTGGGGAGATAGCTCAGTGGGCAAAGCACATGCTGAACAAGGCCGACCTAGATTTAGGTCTCCACAATAATCCTCTTGTAATTCTACTGGGAGATGGGAGACAGATACAAAATAAGAACTGGCGGCCTGTGGACTAGCCTGAAAGAGCAACAGTAAATAAGAGACCTGGTCTCCCAAGATGAAAGGTAAAGAATGACTCCTCAGGTCACTAGCTGACTTTCATATATGTGCTGTTACACATGTGTGCCTGCACCTATATAAACTTAGAGATATGTAAAAGTATACAAAAGGTTAAAAGTCACTAGATGAGGCCTAGATGATTTCATAAAGGACTTTGAAGGACATAAAGACTATTTTACAGTGAGTGAAATTAAAAACATTTGGTGTTCTAACTAAAGAAAAGATATGATCTCTAAATTTTAAAAGGATTACTGTGGCTGCAGCTGTAGGAATTATAGACAAAACCATTTCATTTTATGACTGATTTCACTTTCATAGTGCTTTTAAGTTTCATCTATGCTGTGTCATATGTCAATGGTTTTTTTTTTCTTAAAAACTTCATTTTAAGGCTGGTAGATATTCTACGTTGTATTTACCTGATTGTTCGTTTCTTATAGCTATTTGTGGTTTTCCACCTTTTGCCTGTTTGAAGGCATGCTGTTAGGTACACACAAGTAGCAATCTATTTATTGTAACCTTTCTGTTCTAGTGAGTGTAACATAGCATCTCACTGTGTTTTTGATTGACATTTCCCTGATGACTAATGATAAACATTTTTCATATGCTTTTTGGCCATTTATATATCTTATGTAGAGAAATTTTGTCTAAATCCTTTGCCCATTTTATAATCAAAGTCTTTATTGCTGAGGTATAATAGTTAGGAGGGTTGTTTTTGTTTGAAACAGGGTCTCACCATAAAGCCCTGGCTGGTCTAGAACTCACTATTGTAGCTCATGCTGGCCTCAAACTCATAGAGATCTATCTACTCTGCTTCCTGAGTGCTAGGATTAATGGCATGATACTACACCTGGATAAGAGCTCTTTACTATTCTCTAGGCCAGTGAGATGGTTCAGTAGGGAAGGCACTTTTTTTTTACCAAACCTGACAACCTGAGACATACATATTTTTCCCTGACCTCCACATGTGTGTTCTGACTCACATACACACAGTAATAAAATATAGTAGCATGTTAATAGTTCTTTATATATTCTAGATACTACAGTCTGTTACTGGAAATGATTGTGACTAGAAATGATTCAGATTTTAGATTATTTGGAATACTTACATATATATACTCAACTCTTGTGGGTAGGGGGCCCTTAACTAAACATGAAATTTATTTATGTTCTTTCATTCATTTTCAGAAGGAAATTCTATACAGTATTTTAATGTGCCTTTGTTTTGACTATGTTTTGTCTTACATGGTCAGGTGTAGAATTTTTCTTCATGTTGGTGCTCAGAAGGCTTCAGATTTTGTAACATTTCAGATTTTTGTATTAGGGATGTTCAACCAGTATTCCTTCATTGGATATGTTTTGCAATAAGGATTTTTATAGCATAAGGCATTTGTAATTTTGCCAAATAGAAATGAGCACTTCGAATATTTAGTCTATTTTTGACCTTTATCTTTTTTATAGGCAAGTATGTGTGCTTTTTAATGTATCCTCAATGCATAGCTTTGTAGTTACACACTGCTATTTTGACTTAGTACCATATCACATTTTATCAGGATGGCAGGTTTCTGAACATTTCATAGATCCTGAAGTTCTATTTTGTGTCAGGTTCTGGGGTCAGTGATGAGAACACAAATAAACCGGTAGTATTGAAAACTTATTCCATTAAACACAGAGATATAAGCAGTAGCTTCAGCAGGAAAGATAGGTGTTAGGACCTCTAATGCTGTATGTGTCACAGTAGGGTTGTCTATTCCTCCTCAGAGGAGTTTAGGAAAATTTTTGGACAAGGCTACAAATGGAGCCAAACTTTGAAGTTAATCTAAATGGAAGGAAGTGATCACAGAAGGAATTGCAGGTACAAAGTTGTGGAAGCAGGAAAGATCATGGTATGTGCTGGGAACTAGCTATACACAGTTAATTATTTAAAGTTCAATATATGTGTTGGGGAGATTGGAGGAAACCAGGTAGTAAGGCCATAAAGAGTCAGGGGAAAACGGACACAGGAAATCATGAAGACTGATTTTTAACCCATACAAAATTCATGGGAGAGGCTAAAGCAGGGCAGTTGGCTCCCTAGGAAATGGGACCTGCCAAAGACATAGGAAAGGTCTTAAAAATGTTGTGGGGAAGGCTGGGCGGTGGTGGCGCACGCCTTTAATCCCAGCACTCGGGAGGCAGAGGCAGGCGGATCTCTGTGAGTTCGAGGCCAGCCTGGTCTACAAGAGCTAGTTTCAGGATAGGAACCAAAAAGCTATGGAGAAACCCTGTCTCGAAACCCCCCCCAAAAAATGTTGTGGGGAGATGTAGGATATGACAAGGAAAGACATTGCCAAGAGCTGTAGAAATGAGGCTTCCAGGATCTTTTTACCAAGCAGACTTGGAAGAGCCTGTTGTGACCTCAAGATCTCTCATGTTGTCAGAAGGTGGGAGCCTGTCCTTTGCAGTATGAGAGCCCATAGCCTTGGCAGTAGGTGACCATGTTCTAGTTTTCTACCTTATCTCTGATAAATGGGCTGGGTCATAAGCCATTGATGCGTCTGCCAAGAATCTCAGTAAGTGGGGGCAGGGGAGTCAGGGATGCTTTTTCCTGAGGGGGAAAAATTCTTCCATGTGTCAGCTATAGCCTCCAGGAGTCCTGTTCTTCATTGAGAGTCAGATTGAGACTCCTAGTACAAGGAATGTTGTTTTTGCTCTATTGCTAACTTCCAGCTTAGTAAAATAATGTTTGCTGAAAACATCAGTCTTAATAACTATCATTTATAGTTTTAGTAGTGACAGATCACTGAAATTTTACTATTGTGCTATGTATCTGGAGTATGTATCTTTAACTGGTTAAAGTAACAAGATTCTTTCTTTCCCTTTATTAGGAATCATCAGTGTCCCAGTTTTTCAAAGGTGAAGACAATTCGTGCTGATGGATTTCAAAAACCTTCACATTTTATAAAATCAAATTTTAGAAAATTTATTCAGAAACCTTACATAGTAAGATTGGAGTTTCAAGTTTTTAATTTTTGTACATTATAAATATTTCCATACTTTTCAAAGTGGTTGTAACTTCATTGTGTTATAACAGTGTTGAGGCTTAAAAGATTTTATGATCAAGAAAACTTATCTCTTGTTTTAGTAGAAATTTCTTTTATTATAGTACTAATTTTCTAAAGATCTTTTGGTAACAACTTCATTAAAATATGATTTGCACACTATAAAGTTCATTTCAGGTATATAATTTGGTGATTTTTAGTAATTCTTCAAGATGTGTTGTAGTCCTCACCGTTGTCCAGTTGTTGGGCTTAAGACAGGATTTCACTTTGTTGCTCAGGCTAAGCAGTGCAACTTGTTATACACCCCAGGCTAGTCTCAAATTTACAACCCTCCTGCTTTCACCCACTAAGTGCTTGGTTTCCAGGCTTGTGCCACTATGCCGGAATAGGATATTGTCATTATCCAGTAAGAGCTCTCATGCCTGTTTAATTATTCCATGTTTCTACCCCCACAAAACGACTAATCTCTCTATCTTAAAGATTCGCTTATAGAATAGATGATGAATCTATAATGTCTATAATATCCAACAGCTCTTCTGTAGGTGATGACTAAATGATGGAAGTCAGTTAGTTTGTAACCTAGTTTTAGAAGTAATATCCCATTACTTTACTGTATGGTTATTACAAGAAGCAAGCTACTAGATCATGCCCACAAAGACAAGCATCATTGATGGAGATAATTAGGAGCCATGTCAACAGCTGTATAGTACAATCCTCCTCTGGCCAGACTCCACAAAAATGGATTAAGTAGAAGGTAATAAGACTATTATATAGATTTTAGAAATTGGAAACTGGATAATGAATACCATCTTAATTGTTCATGCTAGAGGACTCAAGTTCTCTGTAGTTAGATTGTACTGTAGTTCTTTCTCTTATTTCTGGGTCTTCCCAAGGTATTGCAACCTTTGGTTGATTAGGGTAACTTGCCTACTGGCAGTATGGAGAGTTTGTGTTTTTCTTGGCTAATAGACAACCTTTACCAAGTCCTGCTGGCAATGTTTTTTTCCTTTCCAAGTAGCATACATAAGTAAATGCTAGATTTATAATCCACTTTCTAAAAGTTAACCATGGTGTTATACAGAGTGTTTTTTTTTTTTTTTACACTTCTCACAGGCATGAATGAAACTGGCCCCTCACAAACTAGCATGGGTCATATGAGAGAAGAAGTATGTAAGCTCCATGCTCCCTGATTTGGGGTCTTCAAACATATGTCTTAATTGGTGAGACTAGTTTTTAAAGTAACCTTTAAGGTATTATTAACCCATATTAATATTTTTTGTTCAGAACTATACTATGCAGAGAAACGATGGCATTACTCAGAAGATATTTAGAGTTGAAGAAAATCATCAAAACAGAAGAGGCCCTAGAAGGTCTTTCAAGGTATTGGGTATTGCTTTTCATTTATGTCTGACTACGGCTTTGTATATTGGAAATAATGTTGCATTAGTGAATTAGAAACTATTTTGTGGCATTTTAAACAACAATTATAAACTAGTGTTTTGATTTCTATGACTATTGATAGAATTTATACTTAACAATTACCAGTTTAATAATGATGTTTAATCAGGATTTGATTTTGAATTTCATTATTACTAGTGGAACTCTTTTTTTCAAATAGTAATGTAGCTGCTTCTAGAAATTACCAAGGATTTAAGACTTAGGGAAGAGTAGATTCCATGTGTAAGCATGTGGGCTGGGTCACTTCTCAAACTGTTCTAGGAGATTGCTTGGAAATGCAGCTGTCCACAAGGAGTGTATGGGAAGAGTGAGGGAGGGAGGTTTGTAGAATTGTTTGGAACGTTTGTGTATGATGGGTTTGTGTCTGACAAAACTAAAGATGCCTCCTTCCCACCTCCAGCACAAAATGATAAGATCGAAAACAAATATTTTTAGTCTTCTATGTCTACTATACTGGACAATATTTAAGACAGGATTTAGTTTTATCATTCATACAATTAATATTTGCTATTTTATGGCAAAGAAAAGTGATGGTACTGACAAGAATAAATTTTATGTTATTTAAGTGTCTGTGAGTGTATGCACATATGTGCAGTTACCCATAGAGGCCATGTGAAAGCACTAGATGCCCTTGAACTGCCTTTGAAGTTACAGGCAATTGGGAGCTACCCAGTGTGGGTGCCGGGCACTGAACTTGGGTCTTCTGGAAGAATGGCAGTCCCATCTTCCCAGTTCCAGGAATAAAGTTTGAAATTTTTGATTCATAGGTATTTTTACTTAATATCTTTTCTCCCTCATTCATATTTGGCATAGTCATTATACATCAGAAAAATAAGCCTAGCTAATTAGAACTTTGGGAGATTATATTTTTCAGTATGATGAATGCCAAGAATTCATTTCAAGTTCTTATATCTTTTCTCTTCTTGTATGTATACACATACATGTGTACATGCGTTTGGAGACCAGGAGTAGACATTGGATGACTTTCTTAGGTGTTCTCCACCTTATTTTGCCTTTATTGATAGGTTTTCTTCTTTGACAACTTTATATATGTATATAAAACATTCTGGTTACTTTTGCTTCAGCTATGTCTTGCTTTGCTCCCACTTGTCTGTCCCCTACTTTGTTCTAAATGTCTTTGCCATATTCACGATGTTTTTGTCTTGTGTCCCACAGAGTTTAGGGTTGTATGATGACCTTGGGTTTGAAACTATCCATTAGACCCTGGTGGGTTCATCATTGAAAACATTATTTAACTGGGTACTTTGACTCTCCTTTTCCCAGAATTTGTTAGTTTCAGTAGTGTGTGTTAAGCTTCTGCATTGTGTGATAGGACCTTATGGTCCTCTTTCCCATCTGTAGCTGCCTATTAAATGTGCTAGTTTATGACTGCCTTGGTTGTATCGTGCTTAGAAAATAGCATTCCCCACCCTTCTCATCTTATAGCTCTTGTATTCTTTCTCCCCTATTCTTTTCCATAATGTTCTGTAAGACCTAAGTGGATGGTATAAAAAGTCTTAATTAGGTTTGAGCCCTCAGCCATCCTTTATTCACAATATGTTGTGCTTGCATGAGTCTCTGCATTCACCTCCATTCACTGCAAAGTGAAGCTTCTCTGATTAATCTTAAGATAAGCCTATGGGAATAAGCATAGATATTTAGAAGACAGTTTGACACTATGTTAATTTAGCTAATCAATGGTAGTATGACCTAAGGCCTCATTAGTCATAGTTTTGTCTTATTTTTCTAACCCAATTTACAGTACTCGGCATGGATTTCCTCTTGTGGACTGGGCTTCAGATCCAATGAGGGAGCACTTGGTTATCCTTGTATCAATCACGCCACTATTGTACCAATGGGCACATCTTGCCTGGCAAGTTGGTAGTGTAGTTCAGCGTTCACAGCTGGGTAAGACCACTGTTACCTTATTCTCCCAGCAGCCTGAACAGCACCATCTAGCACTGTAAAAACTATACAGCAGGAAGCATCCAGCTCAATTCAAACTTGCTTTCTCTGTATCTTGTAACCAAGGTACAAGAAGTCTTCAGCAATGAGGTTTTATCAACTATTTCTATAGACAACCAAGATGAATGCTAATAGCCTGTTTTGTTTGGGGCCTCTAGAGCACCCTTAGTCAACAACTCTTATGGAAGTATCCCACACCTGGCACTGTTTTTTAAGTTACCCTGACCAAGCTTGCTTTTCTGTTAATATGAAAAAGCATTGACAAAATCATCTTTGGGTAGGTTTATTTGGCTTATGAATTACAGTCATCACCAGGGGAAGCTAAGACAGGAACCTGGAGGTAGGAACTGAAGCAGAGACCATGGAGGAATATTACCTACTACTGGCTTGCTTTCCATGGATGGCTTAGCTTACTTTTTTATACAGTCCAGGACCACCTGACCAGGGGTGGCACTGCACAGTGAGATCCAAGCATTAATTAAGAAAATTACCCCACAGATGTGCCAAAGTCTCATCTAATGGATATAGTTCTTCAACTGAGGTTCCATCCTTCCAGACAACCTCAATCTGTGTCAGGTTGGCATGAAAAAAACCACCAGTACATCTTTGTCAACTCTACACAAACACATCAATTACTATTAAACTGTGATGTTTCCTTTCTTGCTTATCCTTAAGATCTCATATTAATAGCACAATATGAAACACAGTCAAAGTTTAAAAGTACCTATTTGAACAGCATTGTTCCCAGTATTCCCCCCTCCATTTTCATTTTGCCTATATACTGCTGTCCCACCTCCTTAAAGCAACAGTATCCAATTTCTAGTTTCCTGGATTACATAGGTATTCCAAGTTAAACACATTACATAGGTATTCCAAGTTAAACACACGAGTTGAAGCACTTAATAGAGACCATGCATTGTCTTTCTGGTCTGGGTTTCCTTGAATGCATTTTTGTAGTTTCATCCACTTCCCTGCTCATTCCTTATTTTCCTTTTTCTTCATAGCTGAATACAATGTCACTGTGTGTGCATACAACAGTTTCATTATCCATTCATCAGTTGATGGATATCTAGACTGATTCTGTTTCCTAACTGTTGTGTATAGAGCTACCACGATGATGGACATGCAAATGTCTCTGTAGTAAGATACATTTTTTGAGTGGTATAGCTCATATGGTAGCCTTCTACCATATGAATACTTCTAATTTTTTTTGAGGAAACTCTAGACTGATATATAAAGTGGATATACCAGTTTACACTTCCACTAGTGCTGTATAGATGGTTTCCTTGACCCACAACCATGCCAGTGTTTGTCATCCTTTGCATACTGATGACAACCAGTCAGACTGGGGTGAGATAGAATCATAAAATAGCTTTATTATTTTTTAATTTTATGTGTATGGATGCTTTTCCTCACGTATATCTGTATACCATGTGTATACAGTGCTTTTGGAGGCCAGAACAGGGTGTCAAATTCCCTGGAACTAGAGTTACAGGCAGTTGGGAGCTGTTGCGTGGGTCCTGGGAATCAAACTCTGGTCCTCTGGAAGCTGTAACTGCTAAAGCCATCTTTATTACACTTCAAATAGTTTTAAAATACATTTCCCTGATGACTAAGTATATTGAACACTTTTAAAAGTGTTTTCTAGCCATTTATATTTCTTCTTTTGAGAACTCTCTGTTGAGTCTCTTAGCACATTTGGCTTGTTTGTTTTTTATGGAGTTTAGATGTTTTAGTTTCATGTATATTCTAGTTAATAATTCTTATCAGATATATAGCTGACATATCTTCTCTCATTCTGTGAACTGCTTCTTCATTCAGTCAATGTCTTCTCATGCTGTACAGGAATGTTTTTAGTTTCACAAGAACCCTTTTATCCGTCATTGGCCTTATTGCCTGTGCTATTAGAGTCATATTCAGAAAATCATTACACCTATATATTAGAAAACCTTAGGGTCTATATATTGAAGTATACTCTTTGCTTTTTCATTTATCAGATTCAGGGTACCAGATTTTATATTGAGGATTTGACTTTTGTGCTGGGTGAGACATTGAAAAAATGAATGATCTCAAATAAGGAAATATTTTAAGGCCTTGGGAAAAAAAAACAAGAATAAACTGGACAAGGTAGTAGAAGGGAAGAAATAATTAAGAACAGAAACAAACAAAAATGTAAAGAATCAGTAAAATAAAGAATTTGTTCTTAGAGCTGGACAGTGGTGGTTCATGCTTTTAATCCCAGCACTCAGGAGGCAGAGGCAGGCAGATCTCTATGAGTTCAAGGCTAGCCTGGCCTACAGAGCTACTTCCAGGACAACTAGGGCTGTTATACAGAGAAATCCTTTCTCAAACCTCCTCCAAAAAAGAATTTGTTCCTTGAGAAAATAAAGAATATTGATAAAAATTTAGCCAGATCAATTCAAAGGAAGAGAACACTCAGATTAATAAAATTAGTTATGAATAATGAGATATAAAAATAGGTATCAATGAAATGAAAATCATAAGTACATACTTTGAAAACCTATATTCTACTAAAAGGAATGGATGAATTTCTAGATGCATATGACCTACCAAAATTAGACTAAGGTGAAGTATGTTAAAAAGACAAACCAGTCAGGTCATGGTGGCTCATACCCCCCAACACTTGGGAGGCAGAGGTAGGTGGGTCTCTGAGTTCAACGCCAGGCTGGTCAACAGAGCTAGTTCCAGGACAGCCAGTGGTAAGCAGAGAAACCTGTCTTGGAAAAAAAATGCAATAATAAAAATTCTCACAACTAAAATCCTCCAGTGCTAGATGATTTCACTGAAGAATTTTATTATATCTTCAAAAAAATTAACACTAGTGCAAATTGTTTTACAAAGTAGAAAAGAAAGGGATGCTTCTAAACTTTTTTACAAAGCCAGTATTGTCCTGATACCAAACTGGACAAAGTGACAACAAAAATAAAAAAATAAAATAAAGCTCACTATATCTGATATACATAAAGTAAAATATATCAAATAGTTGCATATTTTCTGTATTAAAATATATTTATCATAGTCACATTGCTTAATTCCAGAGATACATATGGAAATGAGTAGATGTAGTTCATTACATAAATGAATGCAAAGATAGAAATCACATGATCAATGTAGGAAAGGCCTTTGGCAAAATCTAACATCTCTTTATAATTAAAGTCATGTGGGGGGTTTGTTGCTGCTGAGATAGTTCATAGGAGATTACTCATTACTCTTGCCGAGGACTCAGGTTTGATATTCAGCACCTGGTTTACAGTCATTCAGAACTCCACTTTCAGGGGATTCAGTGCCATTTTCTGGCCTCTGCCAGCTCTGTATTCATGTAGTGCACATATTCACATGCAGGCAAAACATAAATAAATCTAAAAAAATGTCATGAAGAGGTTAGAGAGAACATGCCTCAACATGATAAAGGCTTTATGTCACAAACTTAGTCAGCATCATCCTAAATGGAGAAAAACACAAAGCTCTAGATCAGGAACAAGGCAAGGATGTCTACTTTCCACTGCCATTTTGTATAATGCTTGAAATCTTCACTAGATCAGTAAGACAAAATGAAATGAAAGGGATACAAATAAGAAAAGTCAAAATATTCCTTTTTGCAAATTATATGATTAGAGACTCTAGATACTCCATCAAATCTTTTAGAGCCAAATCTTTGGTGAGGTGACAGAATATAAAATTAATATGCAAAAGTTAGTAGTCTTCTAATATATCAATGACAAACATACTAAAGAAGAAATTAATAAAATCTCATTCAGAATACCACACACAGAGAATATCTCAGAATAAATTTAACTAAGGAAACAAGACTTCTACAATGAATATTTTAAGATAATGATGAAAACATTTGAGGAAGACACTAGAAGACGGAAAGAGTTCACATGCTTATGGCTCAGAAGATTCAATATTGTAGAAATCTCTGTTCTTGCTGGGCAGTGGTGGTGTACACCTTTAATCCCAGCACTCAGAAGGCAAGGCAGGTGGATCTCTGCGAGTTCGAGACCAGCCTGGTCTACAGAGTGAGTTCCAGGACAGCCAGAGCTGCTACATAGGAAAACCTTGTCTTGAAAAACAAAACAATTGCTGTCCTTCCAAAGGTAATATATAGAATCTAGGGACATTCTTCATGAATGTAGGAAAAACCCTTAAAATTTATTTAGAAGTACAAAAGACACAGTAATAGGGAAAACAATTCTGAACAAAAAGAATAGTGTAGGAGGTATCAGCATGTGTAATTTCAGGCTAACTACAGAGCCATAGTAATGAAAATCAGCATAATACTTGTGAAAAAATAAACACAGATCAGTGGAATAGAGAACCTGAATATAAGTTCATGCTAAAAGATAACAAAAATAGACACTGAAGAAAAACAATTGTCTTTCAATAAATGGTGTTGGGAAGCGTGAGTTTCACCATGTAGAAGAATGAAACTAGATCCACCTTATTTTCTGAGATAGTGTCTCATTGAACCAGGAGCTCAACAATTCAGATAGGCTGGCTTGCCTATAAACTCCAAGGATCTGCCTATCACTACCTCCCTACCCCACTCCCTATCACTGGCGTTTATAGTCAGGTACTGGAGATCTGAACTCAAGTCCCCATGCTTGCTTAACAGGTACTTTACTGACTGAGACATCTTCCTAGGCTCATTACTAACCATTTCTAAAATCTATTTTCTATAGAGCAAAGTTTTTTTCAAATAATACAAAAAATAAGCTAGTATCTAGTTTGAAGAAATACTTTAGAGCCAGTATTAACACCTTAAAAATATTGTTGGTGCCTAGAATTAAGGCCTGTTGTAATTATTATTCTCCTGTCTGTTATACTAATAGAATAGATTGGGGAACTGTATTTTTAACATTTAATTCTCTTTGGATCCTTTACAGAACTTTTTGGGTGGCAGATTCCAGCCCCATTTTAAGTCACATCTGGTACGGAAGAGCTTGTATATTCAGGCTAAATACCAGCGTTTACGGTTTGCTGGACCAAGGGGATTTATTACCAATAAATTCAGAAACAGATTTCTGAGGAGAAAAAAGGTTAGTTTGACGATAACCTTTAAAAAATTCTGAGTAACTTTAAATGTTTGTTAGATAATTGGGTTTTTCATCTAGTTTAAGAAACAACCTAGATTTTTTAAATGCTCTCATTGTATGGTAGTTAAATGAAAACTTCAAGATTAATGCTTATGGAACTGTGAAACTATTTCAACTTAAAATGCTTTTAGCCATTCTACCTCAAACAATTTGCATATGCCAGTTTATTGTATGACAAAACTTTTCCTGGGAAGATGTAACATATGTGTCTACCATCCTAGATAGGGAACCTATGACAGACTGAAGTACAGATATCACCAAGGTCCCACAAGGTAACCAGTGAGTTTTACTGGGGTTACTTGCAGGATCAGAAATACTCAAGGACAGCTGCATCACAAAGCCCACTCCAGCATTGGTGGCAGTTTACAAAGCTGGCAACCTGGAGCACACTGCACAGCTTGCAGGCAGCTCAACAGGTCGGAGAGTGCTTTTTTAGGGGCCTCAGTTGGTCTCAAACCTCCAGGTAGCTCTGCTGGTTTCTGCCTCTTCTGGCAGTGGGTCTGGTCTCAATCTTCTTTGCAGCTTTTTTCCTTTGAGAACTCTTCTTAGTATTCTTGGTAGCTTGATTCCCATTTGAGAGTCTTTTCAGCTCAGCTTTCTTCCATCTGAGAAGGACTCTTAGCTTTTATTATTTACTCTGGCTGGAAGGGGCCTCATGAATCTGATCAGTTTCAAGGACTTTCTGAAACTATCTTGAATTGTTTACTTCCTGCTCAAGGAATGTCCCTGCAGGATAGAATATTTCAATCTTGGAGGGAATCATTATACAACACAGCTCTCTGAACGTTGTATTTTAGCATTTCTGTCATTTAGTTAACCTTTAAAATGAACATTTAAGTAAAGACTGGATGACCTATAATATAGCAGTTTACAGTTAGAGGCTAGACCACTATGGGTCAGAGGACAATTTCTCTGTTGCCTTTCACTGCTATTCTGATGCTTTAGATGTCATCCAAGCACACATTGGATTTTTCCAAATTATTATCAAAACTGGGCCTGGTATGTAATTTCAGCACCTAGAGTGCAGAGGTAGGGGGATTACCACAAGTTTAAGGCCAAAAGTTTGGTATTTACTACTTTTCCATTGTCTAATGATACTCTTTCACTTAGGCATATTCTTCTATATTCTTTCTTTCCTTTTAAAATAATATATATATTTCAAGATAAGGTTTCTCTGTGTAGCCCTGGTTGTGCTGGAACTTGCTTTGTAAACCAGGCTGGCCTTGAACTCACAGAGAGCTACCTGCTTCTGCCTCCCATGTGCTGGAATTAAAGGCATGTCCCACCATGCCTGGCTAAATAGAACACGTTAAATTGATTAATTTTTTGTTTGACAATATTCTACATGTATGTAATATATTTTGTCTACTTTGATTCCTCATTTTCTCATTATCTCCCTCCTATCCCTGCCATTTTCCCTCCCTTTTCCCACAGGTCCCCTTTCTCACATTCATGCCTTTTGTTTGTTTTTTGCTTTTGGTTTTTTTTTTTTTTTGTTTGTTTGTGATCATTAATTTAACCAAGATTATCTCTGTGGCCACATCTTTGCAACTCTCCATTAGAGCCTCTAGGGCTCACCATTTAGCCCACAACTGAAGGCAATGATTATCTCTTCCCAGGAATTCATCAGTTACCAAATGTTAAACTGGGAGGGTGTCTTAGTTACTTTTATGATGCTGTGACAGAGCATCATGACCAAGGCGACTGGCAGAAGAAATAGTTATTTTGGGACTTATAGTTTCAGAGGGTTAGAGTCCATAGCCATCATGGCAGGGAACATGACAATGGGCAGGTAAGCATGGCACTGGAGCAATAGCTAAAGTCTCCATAATTCATAAGCACAAGGCAGAGAAAGCTAACTTGGAATGATCTGGGTTCCAACCTCAAAGCCTCTACTTAGTGACATACCTCTTTCAACAAAGCTACACCTCCTAATGCTTCCTATACAGTTCTACCAACTTACAGAGGTAACTTACATGAGCTTTTAGAGGCCGATCTCATTCAAACCACCACAGAGGGTAGGGGCCTGTCAGTCCTCCTCTGATCCATGATTGTCTATTGACATTCCTGTTCTTATGTATGCTAAGTGCAAGCAAGCTGCTGTGAGATCATTTTTTTGACATGGCTTTATCATGTCTTGAAGATAGTGTTTGCAGTCCTCCTCCCTATTATCTTGTTCTTTCCATACTCTAGTTTGTGGTGTTCCCTGTGCCTTAGAGAGGTTGGCATAAATGAAGATCCTGTTTCTGAGTACTCAATCATCACTTATTTGAAGCATCTTTATTGGTATTCACTACAAAGAAAAGCTTCTCTGACCAAAGCTGGGAGTATCATTTGTCTATAAGTTTAAGCATAAATATTTAGACTTCAGTTTGGTACCATGTTAAATTTAGCTAAACAATAGTAAGCCCTACTCCTGGATCCATGACCTTCCCAGCCATAGGTTTTTTGTTTTTTTGGTTTTTTTTTTTTTGACAGGATTTATAGTATTAGACTTGTATTCCCTCCTTTGGAGTTGGCTTTAAATCCAGTTCAAGAACACTTGATCCTATAATAGTTGTGCCATTATTGTATCAGTGAGCATATATTGTCTATCGTTGTCATCGTGGTATGCTGAGTCCACCTCTGGTAAGACCTTTGATGCCTTTACTCCCCTAGCAGCCTGCACAGCAGCATCCAGCAGTGTGAAATCTAGCCAGCAGGGAGGAAGCATTCATCTCAATTACAGCTTGCTTTCTCCTATATCTTGTAACCAAGGTGTGTAGAGTCTTTAGCAATAAGATCTTATCGTCTAGTTTTGGTAGGCAACCAAGAGGAATGGCAATAGGTTGTATTGTTGTGGGAGTCTCTGGGATCTCTCTGGCCAACAATTAGTAAGGAAGTATCCCATACCTGGGATCTTTGTTTTATAAGCAGTGACTTGTAGCAGTATTATACAGCTATGCAGAATATCTCCTTTTTAAAAACATATTTTGACCTACAAAATAATAGATTTTTGTATTATTTTTCATAAGCTAGATTCCTTTATCGTAGTATTATATGTGTGTTGATTTGGCCTATTCCAATTTGGCCAATGTCTGTACTTGCAAGCAATCTTCAGATAGGCTTATATAGAGTTTTATTTAAACAAAGCCCTCTGAATATAGCATGAAATTAGGTACCCTGCTGTTAGTATGCTATATAACAGGTGATCTCCATTTTCCTAATCTTTGGAGAAAGGAATGAGACATGGAAGCTATTCTATCTGCCAGGTCTGAACTAAGGAACTTATGACTGACTAGAACTTTAGGCTTTCCCTCTAGCAGGTACTACTGTAAAACTACATCACATGTGAGAAAATTGTTGACTGGTCCCATCAGTCCATTTTACCTCAGTCCTTATGCCCTAAAAAGAATCAAGTCTTGAATTATTGGTTTCTGCTAATGTTGATTCTCATTTTCTTTAAATTAAGAACACTTTTACACAAATGGGTTTACTGAGTGTGAGGTACCTTTTGCATCATTTTGTCTGTGTGTGTGAGTGTGGGTGTGTGTGGTGTTGGAGATAAAACCGTTGGACTTACATATGCTAAGCAAGTATGCTACCTTTGAGTCATACCTGCAGCCTATAGTTAAATCATTTAATATCCCAAGTTTTGGCATCAGAGGGAACTTTAAAAATTCTACCCTAGAAAGATACCTTAATCTGTGTAGCCTCTTGTGGTGGTTTGAATGAGAATGGCCCCATAGGCTTGTATGTTTGAATGCTTGATCCCCAATTAGTGGAACTGTTTAGGAAGGACTAGGAGGTGTGACTTTGCTGAAGGAGATGTGTGTCACTGCCGGTGGGCTTTGAGGTTTCAAAAACCCCCACACCAAGCCCAGTGTCTCTCTTTCTGCCTGCTGCCTGTTAATCAGGATATAAAGCTCTCAGTTACCGCTCTAGCACTGTGTCTGTCTGCTTCCCGGAATGATGATCATGAACTAATCCTTGAAAATTGTAAGCAGGCTCCCAATTAAAAGCCTCCAAGGCAATTATTTTATAAGACTTGCCTTGGTCATGTCTCTTCACAGAAAAAGAGCAGTAGCTAATATGCATTTCATCACATTTTAGGTTTTTGTGGTGTTGGAGAAGCCATTCTTTTAGTAGTTAGACTCCACCTGGATTAATTAATTGAGGCATGATTAATTAAGTAGTCTAGATACCATGAAATTAGATCTGGACCTACTTATTCCCATATACCTGGTCTATCAGAAGTATTTTTAATAAACTTTATTATTTTAAAACTTGCAAATAAGTAAAACCATAGCAGTATTAATCATACCCAAAGTCTATATAAATTAGTGAATTTATATAAAGTTAGAATTGACATTAAAAACAAAAGCTCTGAAGCTTCACATTAAATTTTACATTTTCAGTATTGGATATATTTTGTTCACTAATCTTCCACCAAAACAAAAAAAAAAAAACTAAGACAGAGTTAGAACTAGGGAAACAAATAGCTTTATATTCTTTTTCATAACTCTTTCATAACTTGTGTCTATTGCCTATATTTACTCCATCCTCATTCCCTTATTCCTAGTCTTTCTTGTTCTCCTTTTCATGCTGTACTGTTCTCACATGTCTGTGTGTTCCTTATATACATCTATCGTTGGCTACTTTCTGCATATGAGAGAGAGCTATGGTTTTATTTATTTCTGAGATTGTGTAACCTTGTATTTCTGACAAGGGGCTAGTGTCCAGAATCCAAAGAATTGCAGAAATAAAATGCCAAGGAGATAAAACTGCGCCAGTCAACAAATGAAATGCAAATGGTCAATAACTTTTATAAAGTGTACAGTGTCTCTAGCCATCAGGAAAACTGCAAACTAAAACTACTTTGAGATAATTTCCTCACCCTAATCAGAATGGTTGTTATCAACAAATCCAAGAGTAGAATTTGGAGAGGGTATAGAAATAAGGAA